ATGTTTTTCCGAAGGCTGTATTTTACACATACTCACACATATGCATATGTGCATATGTCATTCGTGTAGAGAAATGTTCAATCTATACAATGAGACTTAACTCCGGTTGGTTTAGTACTGTTTACACTGTTTAGTACTTTTATTCAACTTTAAATTTCGCTTGGGGCCCTGGATTCCCCAAAAACCGTCATAGTGTTAAATCACTTCCAAACAATGTTGAAAACATACGTCAAAGAAAACTTAAATTGTTAATGCTGTTTAATGGAGAAATCTAAATAAAATAAATATTATTATTATTATTATTATTTTTGATATTTTTGCTATTTTCCTCTAGTATTTATATGAACTTCAAAAAAATAGCTAATGGTGTCTCTCCCCATGTGTGAATATGATTACACTAAGCAACAACAAGAAACACCCACAGAGAAGAAAACTTAATTACAAAGTTTTTTGGGGTCACTTTATCCAAATCTGGCGTTAGTTTGCCCTGGCACCTCATAGACCTCAATTCATAAATTCCATAACTGAACAATACCACAATTCATCACAATTATACGTTGCATGGCACGTGTCAGCTATTAGTAGATGAATGGTATAAAAGAGGCAGCACCGCATAGGGAAGACCAAACGAATTCAAAGGATCTTCTAAAGAAGTACAAGAAAATTCTCTACTATCATTGTGCAACAGGTTAAAACTCTGTTTGGTTGGCAAATTAAAATGAATCTACTACACGGCGAAGTGATTAAAAACATGTCACAGGCAAAGTTTGTAGCTGGAATCCATACCCCCGCAAGTAAGTCTGCTTTAGAATCATTTTCATTTTCATTTTTTTGTGTGTGAATTTTGTCCGAAAAATTCAAATATTCTATCAATTTTGCTAGGGGCTGACCACGCTTAAGAAAATTGAAAATAATACTAGATTTTATAAAAAAAATTCAAACAATTATATATTTACAACTGTGACATTTTTTGAACTTTCTCCAGAAACGATTCACTGCAAATGATAACTTTCAATTGTGCGTTGTTATTAGAACGAATATGCATTTCTTTCGGTTTACTCCCAGAAAATTCATCACATTGTGGTGGTCAAAAGTATCGTTCATAGTGGATTATAGATTTAGTCAAATATTTGAGTTAACATACAGATGGTATTAAAACTGAATGATAGAAACGAATTTCGTAGATGAAGAATTCGCGGTTCCCCTAGCAATTTTGTGTGTGTGTTCATTTTTTCTTTAAATATTATTGCTTGTACTGAGAATGAAACGATTTTATTACAAAATATTTGCATGAATACAAAGACCATCCAAATAATACCAATAGCAAAATGATGGATAAGTGTACCGCATTTATTCTGTCGAAAACGGAAATTATCACGAATGCCCATTGTGTGGATGACGCTCCATATGTTTATGTGGTAGCTGGTACGAAAAATGTATCAAATGCAAAGCAGAAAATTAAAATCAAAGTAGAAAAAGAGAACATTGCATGTCACCCTCATTATAGTCGTTTAATTGCTGGTGCATATGATATTGCCAAAATCACAATGAAAACGCCGGTTGAATTCAGCGATACCGTTGGTAGTATTGAACTTGTGGATAAGGATTACAAATTGAATGACCCATCAGAAGTGGTCACTGCCTATGGATATGGCGTGTTGAAAAACACCGGACCATCGATATTGAGGCGTTGCGATGCGAACTGTATATCTATGTAGTGTATGTTTCATTGACTTTGTTACGAAAGAAAAGAGTAAGTTTCTTTCGACTTAAAAATAGTTAAAGTAGAGTATGTATTGACTGTTTGTGGCTATGATAAAGGCGAGTATGTTTCATAAACCTTAATTTGCGTTAAACAAGAGTATGTATTTTGTTAGTTTGGAATACCAATAATCAGGAGTATGCTTTTCTGACTTTGGTTCTTGGAAAAGGCGAGTATGTTTGTCCAAATTGGTGAATATTATTTATTTATTTGAATTTAAGTATTAGGCAAACATAATCAATAGAACTAATCATTTGTACGATTGGCGGCTCTCAATACTTCAATTCAACACATTGGTTTTTGAAGAAGTAGAGTATGTTTGCATGAATGGTTAAAAATATCAAGTTCTTTCGACGAAATATAGCAAATAAATTTGACTCTAGCCAGACGGATTAATCTAAAGTGGCCTGATAAAACCCGGATTGGCCAAAATAACACCAACGCGCGACATAGGCTATATTTTAACGCAATAAAATCGACAAAAAAATCATACGTCAATTTGAGGAATTTCACATTTTAAACTTTGAACCCATTTTTGGAGGCTCCAATAGGGTCAAAGAGCGCAAGTGACTTCGTGATTTTTGTAGCCCCATCGATTTCTTTTCCAAAGATACCAGTGGTTTGGCAATGTGTCAACTGATTCTCAGTTGGATTTAAATTGGCGCAAACTCATTTTTTCGATTTTTCGACTTTTTCGCAAAATTTACACTATTTTCAGCCAATTGAGATGGTCGATCAAATTCTTGGTCGATTTCGTGTGGAATGGTCGACACATGATATACGCTATACCAACTAAAACGTATATTTCGCTGAGGATAGCCTCTTATTTCATATATGAACAATTTATTCTTCAGAAGTTACGAAGATTCGCACAGAGCATAACAAAAACATCCAGATTTCGCATGGTAGCTCTCTTTCTATCTGGTTAGACGTCAGTACTATCCGGATTTCCCTCTTTCTCTCGCCGTTTCTTTTATACCGTGCAAAAAACGTGCCGGTGCACTACTGAAGAATAGACCCGATTCTAATGAACAGTGTTTCTCCATGATCAGAAGTTCGATTGGCTGCAACTACAAAAAAAAACAATTCCAAATGTTTAAGGGTTTAAGAAGGTTTTTTATTTAAATATTATAACTTTCGATTCGCTTTTTAATATAACTCGGCGTCAATAATAATTAATACCATAGCTTTTGCTTATAAATTTCATATAATGACTAACAACATTTTGTCTACATGGGACATTCTCTGTCTCTGTTTTTAGTAATACAAGTTTTTAAGTTGTTTTTTTTTCTGGTTTTTTCTCTGTTTAAGTTCAAGTAAAGTTTAGCAATTAAAGAAAAGAGATATTTGATTTCATTTTCTCTGTTAATTGCTAAAAAAGGAAATATCAATTCAACAACGTTCATTTAAATGATTTTTTTCTTCTTTTTTTTGGTTTAGTTTCATGTTTGTGATTTCACAAACAAATGCTATAAAATAAATTTTCATTTCTCTTTCATGTCATAATTTTGTTTCTTCATTGAATGTTTTGCACATCTTCAGACAAATTGATATTAAATTTTGCATTTTGCATCCAAAAATTTCTCCACGATATTCAATCGAATTAGAATAAAGATGTTTTTTTGTTTTTTTCGGCAGCCGTTCCTTCAAGTAAGAAAAAAATACTTCTTGACTAAATATTTATTGAATAGAAAGTTCACGATATGAAATTATGCAATTAATCATAATGGAAAGACCACTTGAAGCGACTCGGATTAACTGATCAAATCATTTTTCGTAAGTATGAGAGAGAACAACACAAAAACTAAATCAAAAGTTGACTGAAAAAAGACGAAGAAAGAATTGATCGAAAACATTGTTGTTTCTGCAAAAAAATTCGGTGAAATCAAAAAGAAAATAAATACTTAATAAATACATCAATCATTGATGACTAAATTGAATAAAGAGTGATATCATCTTCGTGCAGTTCGGTGCATAATTATAATCGAGACTTTCTGTCTTGTTCTTAAATTCAACGAAAATAAAAACATGTATATGAAATGTTGTAAACTATTTTTGTTGGTTTTTATTCAAAGAATTTTACATATTAATCTGACAGCAGCATAACATCATAGTGTTTAGAATGCCGTAGCTCCGAAATGTTTTTTTCACAACTGATCCATAAATATTACAAGTGCATGGAAAGTATGTGTGATGTACATTTGGAGTGCTTTTGTCATTGTTTCGTATGCATTCTAAGTGTCGCCCAGATTTCAACATTAGCTATTTTGCGTTTGGCCACATACACCAACGAAACTGTGTCAAATGAGACCACAGCGTTATACCAAGAGAACTGTGACACAGGAAAAAGGAAATGCAACGGCTCGTTACTAGAGAGTCTTCACTAAAGAGGAGCCCATCTAATGTATTGATAAGAATATCCCCATTTCTATTTGATCCTCGTATTTCGGGCGACCAGAAGCTAGAAGCTCGAAAGATTGAACCTTGATGGAGGAAGGTTTGAAGAGCTCGGCTTTGGCCTTTCAACGTTTCAAAGATCAAAGATATTTCAACAGAACGTCGCTATCGAATGACTTATCGCCAGACCAAATAACCAGAAGAGGTGCCAGAACAAAATTAGTCAAATGGAGTCAAACGATTTGGCATTCTCTTAACACAAATTGGATTCTCTTGTATACGCCATAGATGACTCTGTTTTATGGTTGAATTATTCATTAGAAATCGCCTCTAAAGACGAAGAAAAGCTGCAATCTATATGTCAAGTGATCGAAAATAATACAATTCTCTTCAAAATATCAACATTGTTTCTTCCATTTTAGCAATCAATTGATTTGTATGTGTTGTGACAAACTAAGCCTACGGCTATAGCTCTGCTGATACAGTTGCCATTCGTAGATCTACCCACATCTGATAGGGACTAGAGATAATATTAGCTATAGTGTATAGCAGTCAGGTTCAATCTAAAACACTGAGCTTGTTTTAAATTGTTTGTTGATCATTTTAATCCGTAAGAAAGTTGTTTTCTCTGTGGTTCATTTAAATTTTCGCTTGAATTCTCTCATTGACGAGTACGATTGTGTTTCGAATCGATGAATAACGATTTGTTTTCATATAATATGTATCTTAAACAACAAAGAATCATAAACCATCGATAGAGGTGTACAGTGCAATAGATTGTACGTTTTGCATGCATTTCATCAAAGGATTCCATACATAAATTTACAAATACATCGTGTGATTTTTTTTGTTGTTGCTTTTTTTCAACTTTTATTTCATATTCGGGGATTTTCTCTTTATATTTTTGTTTTTTATGTTGTTCAAATTAAGTAATAAGATTACAGAATTAATCCGATTTTAACTGCTTTGATTTACTCCCATAAACGGTCCCTTTCGTCTCTAATATAATATAATAACAGCTATAATTTATTATGACTCTAGACTAAAATATTTAAATTGTTTTTCCTTGTCGAAATGAAAAGTAAGTGTTTGCTTTGTTCTTCTTTCACTCTAAATGTGAACGGACACTTATGTCGAAATAAAAATATAAATATAATTTGTTTTTTATTGTTTTAATAAGAAACAATAAAGAAATACGTTAAACATTTTGTTGTGGTTGTTGTTGCAGCAGCAGAGATATCTTAAAACGAGACGAGGACGCTTTGACGGGTTTTGTTTGTTTTAAATTTATATGTTGGTTGTTTTTCTTTTGAGTTGATATATGTATTTATATGTATATATTTCTCTGCTGCTTCTGTTGTTGAGCACAAATATATAAGACAGAAAAAATAGATATAGAGAAAAAAAAACATTTGTTCGACCCAGCCACACAGACGATAATGAGCTGTATTAAGGAGTTTTTTTTTCAAGTTTTGTTTTGTTTAAGGACTTGTATCATTCGAGTTGTAATGTTTATTAATTTGTTTTTCCTTTTAAAGTTCGATTTATTTGCTAGAAACGACTACGGCGAAATACGGTGATTACATCTGGGGATCGATCTGACCAATGATAAAATATGAATCTGAAACAGTCAGAACGTAGTTTTTTTTTCTATTCGGATAAATAGAGAGAGATATATCATATATATATAATTCATTTTCAGTACTGAAAGGTCATGGTTTTGGCTCTACTTAACAAACGTGCTTTTGTTTTATAATTTGCAATATGATTTCTGTTCTTTTTTTGCGGGTTTTGTTTTTGCGATTTTTTTTGATTCAACAACATAAACTCTATATGATCAAACTGTCGGCACACAAATAATAACATTATTTGCATTTTATTTTGTTCTCGGCAAAAAAATGATCGATCCATCAGGATTTTTTTTCTCAACTATTTGTTTTTTTATTTTTTGGCATTGCAGCGAATGTTTGTTTCGTGGCTTGTGTGTGTGTGTGTGTGTGTGTCCCTCCAAATGCCAAGACTCGATTCGAATTTGTTGTGATTTTCATGCTATCCTTTACCTTACCCACTGCCCAAACTCTATTAACTTCATTTCGACTGATATTTCCAATTATTTTTGTTACTGCTCTTTTTGCTCGTTTTCATTTTGTTCACATCAGCATCAGTGAACACACCAAATATTCATTCCAAATGTTAATCATGATAAATCGTTTTTGTTTAAAAACTCGCTATGTTTCAATGGTGATTTACACCAGATCTCGAGACAGGTCGGGCTCGAACACGTGGCGGTAGCGTCCACGTTGTAGTTGCTGATGGTCAAAGATTCTCTTTTGATGGTACCCAAATTGTTGGTCCTGATTGTGACCATATGACGTTCTTCACTTTGGTATAAATGTCTTCGATCGTATCTTCTTGAATTACGGCTGCAAAAGAAAACAGAAGAAAGTGGTCAACATTGGATGTGCTTGAAGAAAAAAAGAGCGCGAGTACTCGAGCTGGAATCAATTCTTACCAGTGAAGTATTCACCAAACTCTTGCTCCATCTTGAGAGCCCGCTCAAATGTTTTCTTTGCTTGTTCTTCCGTCATTCGACGATTCATTTCCCTGTTATTGATGTGAAATAAAACAAAATTAGGTAAAAATTGGCACAATTCGATGGCAATTGTTGATGACATACATGATAGAGTCCACAGATTTTGGTTTAATGAATATTGCAATTGGATACAATTGGGCGACTTGGAGGCGCTTGATCGCATTGCCGGACACATCTAGGATACAATGCTTGCCCTAGAATAAATCAAAATAATGAAAATAATGAATAATATTTTATTTTTATCTTTCAAAGCTTGATTGAACTATTTCAATTATTTGATCCCCAAACACTTTAAAATATTCGATTTAATTGAAATTTGACAAGCATCCGATTTAACTTACACTTTCCGCAACTTCCTTGACACTAGCTACAGACGTTCCATACAGATTATCATTGTATTGACCAGCTTCAATGAATAGGTGATTTTGAATATCTCGCTCCATTTGCTCGCGAGATCCAACAAAGTGATAATCTCGACCATCAACTTCGTAGTCTCGTTTTGGTCGCGTCGTATCTGTAGATTGAAGCAACAGGTTTTTGGTTAAATTTTTATTGCCGAAAATAAATGCTGAAAATAAAAAGAAACAATACTTTGTTTGTTCACTTACGTGGAACACATGATCCAAAGCGATCCGGATACTCGGCGATCAAATCGTCATTGATGCGATCCTTCAATGGTCCCAAGATAATGACAGGTCGCGTATAATTGATAGAAAGACGTTGAACTGCTTCATATGACAAAACGTTCTCATCTGAAGCTGTAAAATTACAATGAGTTCATTAATAAAACAGTGTTCGATTTTTTCCCTGTTAATTTTGTGTCTATGGGCAAATATAATACGTCTAAAAAAAATCTATATAGAGAAGATAAATGCATCACAATTGATTTGAGAATGGATTGTGAACGACTAAGGCCTAATCTGTGTTGTAAGCAATTCTTTTATTCCCAAAAATATTACTCGATTATAGAATAGCGTCATTTAAATATTTTAACGAATGAAATATTCTCATGCATTTGAACGGAATGTGGATGGCCGTAGCCGGAAATCATACGAATTGTGGTCTCATTTTTTTCATTTCTTCCATTTTTGGGCGGATAATCAATGACTTTTTTTACCATCTTGAACGAAAAGTGCACGATATGTGAATTAAAATTTGAAATTTGCAACAATTAGTTTTATGCGGGTGAATAGTGTGAGATATATTTAGAGAAACTTCATGGATTAAATCTTCCTTTGAGTGCAATGTTCTTTCGCAGAGTACAGAGAATGGTTGACCGTATTATAAGCGTGTTTAAGTATAAATACAACACACTGGAATTTTATTAACATTTCAAATGAAAATCTAAAACCAAAAATTCATGTTGCATGTCAATTAACGAAACATCAACTAACGAAATTTCTGTTAACGAAATTAGAATATTTAATCCAGAATAAATAGTTCTTGATTTCAAAATCACTCATTTCATTTACAGAGAAGCCGACATTCGTAGCAAACGGTTGCACTTAATTCTGTGTAGTTGTGATGAATCCAACGATATTTTGGTTTGATAAACGTTTTAATGTATGCATATCAGAATGGATATTAATCGTAGATAATGTAGTAAAGTTCAATGCAATTCAATTAAATTTTACATATATCTGCAATCAATCCACCCCAATTCTCTACAACGACAGCTAAAGTGAACGAATAAACTAGATTAATTAAATAAGCATTCAATACATAACACAAACACATTTAGTTGTTAATTAAAGTACACGAATCCAAGTTAAGTTAATTAACATCATCAATGAAAACAATAAAAAGATGAACAGTGTATTCGTACATTCGCTAATAGAGTTATTAAACAGTAAACAAACTAATTAATTGAAAATTGCTAGACAGTTTGAATGATGCAGACCGAAGAAGAAGAAGAAGATGTGATAACCAGAGCTCAATAGCTAGCTCAAGTACAAAAAACAAGATGACACACAGCAATGAAATCGATTTCTACTCAAATCAAAGGCATGGACCAAAGGAAAAACATACAATTTCACACAGAGATCTTGGAATGCATGCAATTTTTTTTAAAAACAATTTTAACATTTCTTCGAAGCATTTTTGCCGTAGAATTAGCTCTAAGAACGATGAAGGCAATTAATCATTTGGTGTTTTCCATTCGGAGGGAGATCCATTGAAATAAATGCTAGGAATGCAAAATCTATGAACACGACAAACTTAATTTCGTAGCATTCTCCCCAACCCCAGTTCATTCAAAATAAATTGGGCAGAAATAAGGCTTGAGAACGAAAATAAAATCAAGTAAGTCGACGACAAAAGAAACCAACGAATTCAAGCAAATGATTGTTTAGTAAGGATTTGATTTCAACCAAAATTGTCCAAATTAAAAACATATTTGCAAACCCGAAACGAAAGTCTTAAATATTTGATGGGAAAATAATTTTGTCTAAATATTCAATTCGTTCAAATTGTTTCAGTCGTTGAAATGGCTTCACTTAAAAGAAATCGGAATTAAGGTTTTTCATTCATGTTACTAAAAATTGATGGAACTTTGTGTTCGAAAAAGTTACAAATTTAGATGCTAATACTTAATTTTAAGAACATCGAGAAAGTAAAAGAAAACAAAAAACGGAACAGAATTAGAGTTAGCAAACTAGAATTTGAAAAATGAAATGTAATCCAAAAAAAACAAGATGCAACAATATGCTTGCAATTGCCTGAATTGAAATGTGTGAAACTCAAGAAGAAGAAACAAAGAAAACAAGACTTCTTCTAAGTTCAATGTAATGTAAGAGTAGAGAAAATTTGTTTCCTACAACAAAAATCAAAAACAAGGAAGTTCAGTTGTTTGTCAATCAAAATTACTAAAAAATGAACATATTGAGCAGAAAATGTTGCTTTGATTGGTATTGAGCGATCGAAATGTTACAGAAAAATTAAGTTAGAAGTAAACATTCTATGAAGTGGTTTTAATTTTAAAATTATGGTATTTTTTTGTTTTGTTGCAGTCTCCACTCACACCCACACATGTTTGCTTGCTTTTTTTTTGCTCAAATACAACTAAACCAGATATCTATCTGAATCGAAATAAACAAAACAAAATATGAGATTACTGATCATTCGGTGATTGTGGTGCTGATTTGATCTCGTTACTTTTTGGTGTGATAATATTCAAAATCTAAAAGTAACACATTATTCATGTCGAACCGCATTTGATTTGTGAATGATCTAAGTGCGATCGGACTGAATTGACAAAACTCAATCTAAATTAAACTAAACATATCAAAACGAGATGCAGTTTTTGTTTTGCTGTTGTTGTTGTTGTTGTTGTTGTTGTTGCTGTTCATTTGTATGTATATTTTGTTTTCATATGCTGTGTGAGTGTGGTGAGTGAAAAAGTTCACATCAGTTTTTGTTTGTTTTGTTTCAGCGCATGACTTACAATAGTCAGCATCGTTATTCTCCAGGTAGATTAGCGTTATCTGCTCCATGTCGGGTAACTCCACTCTGTAGATAATCTCGCCTTAAAAAATATATGCACCGAAAATTCGAGGTTCGAACGGAAAATTAACAAACGTTTTATTAATTAGACAGATTAATTTTGGTTGAATTGTTTAATTTATGTGTGTGTTTGTGTGATCAGAATCAAAACACTAAACAAGTTGATTTGATGTTTATTTGAATTTTTTTTTTTTGATCTGATAAAATTAGTTCTGGTGTTCTGATCTTTTTGTGTAATTTTTTGCTAAAAACTTATAAGATTATCTTATGATTTAATGCACTAGACTCATAGAGATAGGGGAGGATCGTAAATGTTCGATTTCAAACTAAACATAAAACAAACGGTAAATATTATTGTAATTGTTCAATTTGCTTCTGTAGGGCAATAGGGTGGGTGAGAAATGTTCGAGAAGGGGGGTGGGGAGAAAACTATATATGTAAGAACACAATAAACAGCTTCCTACGGAACAACAACAACAAACAAAATATAAAGCGGGGGTTTTTTTTCGGTTCAGGTCGATTGGTGAGTTTTTCGTATGTGCCTAGAAAAGTTGGACTTTGGTCATATGCCATCGAAGGTGTGTAGATTTTGTTCAAGATACAAATAGGGAATGAAATATTTTGAAAGCTAGCAACATCAAAATAGGTTCGTATACTACGTACTAGTACGTGGAAAATCATGGTGATTATTGTTCAGCTTATTAACAGTGATGAAGCAATATATGTACGGAATATTGTATTGTTTCGGTTTGATCTGTGATTTCGAATACAAATACGAACGGTCAAATCGAAGTTCAGTTCACAGACGGTTTTTTTTTCTCTTCGGTTTTAATTTGGTTTTAGTGACACAACTTGCTCAATTGCATTAACGTTGAAACAGAATATTCGATTTCATTTAATTTTCTAAACTCAGAAAATAACACGATAAAAATATATGCATTGAACAGCATTAAAATCAATTCAACAAATCTAAAACATCAATACGGGTTTAATTTAAAGATTATATCAAATCAATACGACTGCGATACCAAACGTATGAATTTGTAAGAATTTCGCATATCTGCGAGATACGAAGCTCAACTGAGACAATGATATTGTATGTACACGTTGAAGAGCATTCTGGATGTGATTACATCTGTAAATTGAATGCAAATTGCTGTCAAAACGCAATGTTCTTTGTTTTTGAGCTGAATATGTCAGCCTAGAGATAAATTTTATCAAAGCATCCTGTCGTGTTTCTTGGGAACAGTTAAAATTTTGTGGTCGACCACAATTATTGCATCGGATTATTAAAAAAAATAATACAAATAAGTGACCGAATCAAGTAAAAGCCAAAGTGACCGAATCAACTTAGTTGTGGTTACAAGCTTGTGGTTGCAATCCTAAAAATAGACAATCAACCAAGATTTTATAAAAATATTCCTCATGTTTTTGTTGCGATATTTCTGGAATTCCATTTTTGTTCCAAAACGCTCGTAATTACCAGATTTGTTCACACAAAAACACGATTCCCATTGAATATTTTGGTTACCATTTGTTAAAATGTTGTAGTCGAAATAAATATTCCATCCAAAAATGGTGGTCAACGGCAAATTATAATCTGTGCTTATGAAATGACAGTCAGAGGCTTTGATAAAATAAAAATCATGAATTGCACAGCTGCAGCGTGGTTCGACGAAAGAAATGTAATCAACTCGCTAATAAACAAAGCGACAGTGTAGTTAAATTGCTGTGATCGCTACAATGTTCAAAACTGTCATGTGTGTGTGTCATACATTTTATGTTAAAAACATTACTTCGCTGCCATTTTTATCTATAAATATTTAAAAAAAAATACATCGAAAATAATACAGGATTGAATATAATGACAATTAACTCAATATAGTTCATAGCATATTCAAACACAGCATAAATATTAATATAAATATTTCTTCTTCGTTCGTAATATAATATATACAGTTCATGTCGTTGTATGACCGATTCATAAACAAATTTCCGGTTTTGAGTGACGCAGAAATAGCATTAGTTTTTTTTTGGGAACGATTAGATAGATAGAGAGAGAGATACACGTACGAGAATCAATGAAAAATATTGACCACATTGCAATTTCTACCGTTGGAATTGTTGTCAACTTGCAATCAATTTGCATTAATATTAATTCATCATCAAAAGAGACATAGACACAAAAAATTATTCGACTCGAGTATTACAAAATAGAAATTGCAACGCACAAACAATTCGTCCGAATAAAAAAAATAACAAAATAACACGATGGAACGATATAAATAATTATGAACAAAATACGGTTACGTTGGCACAAATAAAAAAAACGAAATATATGTTAGATATGATAATGCATTACATGAGAAGAGAGAGAGAGAGAGAGAGAGAGAGAGAGAATTACATAGACGACAGAGTCAAATGATAGAATATGATGAGTATGTTAATTGGGTAATATAGCAGCGGTTAGTTAGATTCATTTTTGAAAGAGTTAGTTTTAATTGAACTTGAAAAAACAAATTATAACCGAAAAAAAAACACTTCGAATAAAATTTGTGTTGTTTTTGTGGATAGAAGATAGAATTCATGGCATAGTACATACCTCCGTCAGCGTTCGCATCATCTTGTGTATAGCAAAGCATAAAAGCTGCAATTTTCGGAAGAAAAATTATGGTTTTGTTTTACTCGACTAAACATTTCTTTTTAGATATCAAATTGATGCACCGTGTGTTATATCATGGTCAAATGTGTATATGTGCAGAAAATTAGATGATGTGCACGTGGAAAGGGTGAAAATTAATGGAAAGGAGGTATATGGTATATATATATATGTACGAAAATATAGAGAAAAATGATACCATTCAATCCCAACACCACACATAAACCAATCGAGACAAATTATTTACATAAGCATTTCTTGTTGAATTAACCAATAATTAACAGAAAAGAAATAATAATAAAAGCTTCTGTTGACACTTACGCTGATAATCTTGACTAATTTCTTCAGTGTGATTTGTTCCATTTTGTGCGACTATTGATTTGAACAACCAATATTTGGCATTCATTTGTTTTTTTAATGTGGTTATGGGATTTTCGGTTTGAACGCATAAAAACACACGGGATTCAAAAAAATAAAAATAAAATTAAAAAATATAGAAAAATTTCAAAAAATGTAAAAAAGTTTCAAAAAAAAAATAGAACAAAATTTTAAAAGAAAGAACATTTAACTCAATCCAAAAAAGAGACGAAAAAATGAACGAAAAAAGAAGTAACAAGTGCAAAAAGTGAAAATAAAAATCGATTGAGTTTACTCACGTTCTTGATCTGAACCATCTTCGTTCTTGTCATCCTTGCTTTTCATGAACGGGAACTTTCTCGAAAAAGTGAAGTTCTTCTTTTTTCGATCAAGTGTTGATTGCTGCAAAGATCAACCGATTAATTACTGAGATTTTCAAATGGACTTATTCATTAAAAACGGGAATTTATTCTTATGTGGCTTACCTTATCAACATTATTATTAGCTGCATGTCCCTGGAACTTGACGCTGCGATCCCGTGCTCTCATTTTCCGTTCCCAACGACGTTTTGATGGAACAATGCCCATACCTATTACCAAAAACATTGTATTAGATACCAATTTTGTCATTAAATCTTCGCTTCATAATTCATAGCAATCACCATTATTTACCTTCTTCTTCACCATCACCGATGACTCGTCTAGCTTGCCACCATTCATCGTCGGATGCGTTTGTCACGTGTAAGACGTCACCATGTCGGAAAGGAAGCCCCCGTGATGGTAGACCATCATCTCGGTTTGGATCATAATCGAATAGTGCTCGCACATATAATGATCGTTTTTGTGATGTTCGCAAAAGTGTACCGGTGCCGGCATTTATGGCAGCTTGTTGTTTCAACTCATGGATTCGTGCTTCAAACCGGTTATAGTCTTCAGGTCGATACTGAGCAACTAAGTTTACGACACCGCCAGAGCTCTGCAAAATATAGACATGATTAAAAAGTGTCACAGACAAAATGCACCAATTATGAACCAAGCATGAAAAAACATGCAAGTACCTTGAGAGCTTGAGCTGCTTCTTCATGTGTTGCACTTCGTAGATTGACACCATTGACACTTAGCAATTGGTCGCCACGTTTCAATTCACCACCAACATCAGCCGGACCGCCCGCCAATACAAACGACACATAAATACCTTGGCCATCTTCACCGCCGACTATATTGAATCCAAGACCTTGTGTACCTTTTTTTATTGTGATGGTTCGCGGCTCTCTAAATCATCAAAACGAGATGAATATCGTGAGTACGAAAAATCGATTGATTAAATCTAAAAATATCTACTATCAAGGGAAAAATGAGCGATTTCATGAGCACAGCGATAAAGTTCAAAGTTTATTTCAGCTGTGTGACACGGTTCAAAGTATGTTTTGACTTACATTTTGCGCCAAATTATCAAGCGATATATACTATTCATAATGGCAGCTCGTTTAATTGATTGCAAAAAATTATTCACGAATGATTGACCGTTCTTGAATGATTTGATTCAGTGAGAGAAATGAAATGGATTCCACAAATTGACCGTGTTACATAAAAAAAAACTTCGTTCGGAATTGTTCATATATTGACACTTTATGAATGACTGCTGTCTGTCATATGACGTTTTACTAGTTCGCAGACGAATGAGGCGATAGAGAAAATTGCGAAATATTGTTGTATTTCATGGAAAATGTTGAATCATCGTGCAACCCATAGCGAAACTAGTCAGCTTGTCAAATGCAGAAATAATGATGAGTAATTAAACAACAGAAACTTGACTTGTTTGCTACTTTCTTGAATGAGTTTATTTATCGCTTGCGTTCCGTTCGTCGTATTGGCAGTGAGAAAACGAAAGGCACAAGATATGGAAAACAGCAAATATTAATTATGTTTGTAGAAAATAAATATATGAAAAACTTAAATGCACATCGATTAAACTTTGCGTAAAATTTATACCACGTGAACTATACGTATCAAATGCGAGTCAGATACGAGTCAGATACTGTTCGCTGGCAAAAATGAACTGAACTCATTTTTTTCATATTCTTTACTTTGCGTTGACGTTGATGCATTCATTATGTGCGTGTTGCACGACACTGCACCGAATTCCAAAATGGGATACATTCAAACCAAACAGGTAAGTAACAGTAAGTAAGTGCTCTGTGTGTGCCAAAATGTTGTGTCAAAATTAAACTCCATTTTTGAACATAGACCAAAAGCCGGTTCCATAGGGTGGCATTTTCTAAGAACATTACCGGTCGCAAATTTCTTATTGTAATTAATTCCCATTTAACATACCTTGTAATGTCCTCCGTACTGACAGCTCTTGGTGTTCCTGGTGGCACTGCCGCCAGCACATTTGATGATGCATATCTTGATGAGCTCTCCAGGTCTGCAGGAAGAGAATAGATGATTTTTTTTTATTAAAAAAAGATTTGATACGAAAATCGTGGATAAAAAAGAGTAAAATGAACGTGAAAGAACGTACGAGGCGAATGTGAACGTGATGAAGCTGCTGGCGCTGCTGGTGACTGTGAGCGCCCATAATCGACGACAGTTTGGCCTATACTATTAACGGCACTTGTTGATTGTGAATTTGAATTCGATAAACCGATCGAATTGGTGGTATTGTTGAGGCCAAGATTCGTTTTACCAACGACTAATGTGACTTTGTCAGTAATTGATTTGAGTGTTGCAACGGCCTCTTCATGTGTTACATTTTCTAGATTACGTTCACCCTGCAATAGTAGTAAATAAACGGAACGGGTTTTTACGTTGTTTTTCTTTTAATTTCAAGTTTTTCCATATAGATTCATTCTAATTGCATGTCAGTGTGCTGTTCACATACAATGCACACAGCTGGACTATGTGTGTGTTTGTGAGTTGAATCGGTTTTGGAAAATTATTCGTCAAACACACACACACACACTGCATGAAACACAGAGACTTTTAACTTACGTGACTGGCGGTTCTGACGGCGATTAATTTGTCACCGATCGATAAGCGGCCATCAACATGCGCAGCACCACCTTCCATCACTTTTGTAACGTAAATTCCATTGTCGCCGGGAATATGTTGATTACCGATGCCACCGGCAATCGAAAAGCCCAATCCTTTGTTCCCTTTCACTAAATCAATGTCAATGGACTTCGGTGTAGTTGGTGGTCGTTTTCGTTTTATGTTCAATTTCACCACGTTTCCGGCTTTCTTGAGCGCTTCAACCGCCGCTGCATGTGGAACATTGACTACGGACACATCATTTACCTAAATAATAAGTCAATAAAAAGCCATTAAATCGCGTGTACTCCAGCTTTGTTTTAGTTCTTATTCTTTAGTTCAATTCAGGGTAAAACATACCGCTATGATGCAGTCGTTAACACGTAAACGACCATCATTTGACGCAGCACCGCCGGGTATTAATTTTGTTATATAAATGGATGTATCCACTCCTGTATATAAAAAATATTGTGAATATTTATGAAATAAATGAATATTCGAATCTGACAAACAGTGAGACACGAACTAAACAACAACTGGTGAGCGCGAAGTATGTTCGTATTTGTGTGCGTATACGAGTGCTCATATTTTTCCATTTTATTTACCTGATGTGAGAGGATTATCGGTACCTCCAGCAATGGAGAATCCCAACCCAGATGAACCACGTTCAAGGGTGATTTCTTCTTGTGCCCAACTCTCGTCGCCGTTCACCTATAGAAACATACAACGCAATCCGGAATCGACACATTAGTTGATTGTAATCTATTAAATGTTGCTACATATTTGTTAGTCGCTTGATTTTACACACCATACCAAAACATTACTTGAGACCAGCAAGAAAAAAACGTCAATAACCATGTGTGATTAATATTACTCAACACCCGACTAATGCGCAAAGAATTTACCTTAACGATTATTATCATTATTAGGTTTCTTTTAAGTGACAGCGAGAAAATTCGATCCATATTGGATTAGCTGTGCCACCATACAAAAAAATAGTACCAATGCAGTGGGTAAAATAGTAGCAATTTAATTCAAATTATCTAGTGCATACAGTTTGGTTAATCATGTCTTGTCTTATTCTATTTTAGTAGTCAATTTTCTTTACATGCATTTTGAATTATTCACGAGATTCATTTCAAGTTAGACTAGCTTTGGTTTAGTTGTTAGTTTTTATTTTATTCTACCCCATCTAAACTTACACAATTTTTACACCCAGATGAATGTGTCTTTTGAATGATGTAATGCGAATGTGTACATTACGTAATAAGATACGGTTAGGGTTGTGGAAATATGTAAAAAGAATAAATAAAATGATAATGAAAAATTAAGTTGGAATTGTGCTGTAATAAAAGGAATGAAAAGTAAAATAGAAGATTCCATTGGTATTCAAAAGAATAGAATGTGAATTAGATTTTGAATTTGTTTAGCCCCATCGAAAATAAATGTTTTGAAGTAAGCCCAAACACCAAAAAAGAAGAATAAGAATTCAGTGAATGAAAGATAGATGACCAAAACAGTAGAATATCCCCATTCAGAAATAGAATAGTAGTCGAATAGTAGTAACTCAAAAAATGTATATTTTACCGTTTCCAAATTGAAAAGTGATGAGACTTTCTTCAAAAATCCACCATTGTCTTGTTGACGCTTCTTTTTTCTAGTTGTCATTTTAGTTGATTAAAATTTATCACTTTTTTTCTTTGTTTTTTAAAATACGATTTTTTATTGTTGCAAATTGCGTGTTTACACTGAATTCGAACGATGTTGACTCGGTTTTCAGGTTTTTTTTTTATAGGAATTCAACGTGTCCGTTCATTTTAGGGCCATAATTGTTTTTTTTCTCTTCAGTTTTATCTATATGGATTTCGTTTCATTTGATTCATCCAATTGTTTCATTCATTTAACACTTAAGAACACATGCGATCGATTTAATATACCTACTATTAAAAAATCTAAAATAAACAAAACAAAAAAAAGAAATGAAGAATTATTCAACTCAAAATCCAAAAAAAGCACAGAAAATTACACAAGATATATAAAAAGCCACAATCGTCACTCAATTTCTCACATATGATTTTCGATATATATATATATACGTTACGGCACACACAGTTCATAGTGAAAATCGCAATTCAAATGAATTTTCATGTATTCTACACACAAACAAACATAAAGATTTTTTAGAGCAGATAATCGGAAGACGAAACAGTTTCTCTTCTAACTCAAAACAGATAAATCTTTGTTCACAAACAGACAATTCTTTTCTCGTAAAAGAAGCAAAACAAACGAATCTTTCTTATTTTGAATATTCATTACTTTTGAACAGTCACTCATTTAATTCACATCACAGCCAATTCATTCCACATTGAATATTCAATTATTTCCTTGGTTTGTTTTTCGATCGTGGCTAATTATCATCATTACTATTTTAAATTGGCCGTACCGAATGGATGAATTTAGTAAAAATGCCACTGACACAATTTCCAAGCTTTAAGCTTAATTCGCTCTTTTTGGAAGAAGTAAATTACAATGTTTTTGCCCCGTGCACAAATGAAAATAATAGAAGAATAAATAATTAATAACCGAAACCGAAATAGCTTTAATTTCATTAGCCAAATTACCACCACGAAAAAGATGTGTTGACAGTGCGGTGAAAATTCCGAATGTGTGCTAAATGATGGGAAAAACGGATTTATTTTCGGATAGCCGTTGAATCGATGTTTATGTCTCCAAATAGCTTTCGAATTATGAACTTTTCGTCGTTGGATATTTCAATATATGCACACATTAACAGAAAATTATTCAATTTTGTACAATGTACACCACAAAAAGTGACACAGAAAAAAACAGACTCACACACACACAGTAGATCTCGTATTGGATGTAGCGAAAATAGCCGACAAAACAGAAAGATTACTATATATACTTTATGATGTATCATTCTTGCAACTTGTTGTACATTTTCACGGTCTCAATGGGCTGGTTTTGATTTTCATTCAACGCACGATTTAAATTCAGCTCTAGACAGATCCAATATGATTTTGTTTTTGTTTGACGGCGGGCGAACATGCGAACGAGCGAACGGGGAAGATTCTTTTCACTTTTCGTGCAAAAAATTTTCGGCGTTTTGCTGCGAATCTCTGGTTACGTATTTAATAGATTCTTTCAATTTCATACAGAATGATATTGTATTTATTTTTAGGCATTTTCATCAGTGATCAGTGAGCGATTCGGTTTTTATAACTACATTTATGCACGAGGCCGTATTCTTCCCTCGTCGTCGGCGTCGTCAGCACAGCGAGAGAAATAAAAAACCACACACAAAAATTGTGTTAGAACAAAAAATTAATAGTTGGTGTTAAATATAGAATGTTCGTGCATCGTTTGAACATTGATTCTGTTGTTGTTGCCGTTGGTCGCGACAAGTGCGAGTGTGTATTTGTTGAACTTCTATCGAGTATCATCAGGCGTGTAGCATTTTAATCGCTTGTATATCTATTACAGGTACACAACCAAATGTCAAAATTTTCGATAAAAACAATTTTTTCACTTGGGAATATCAAAGTGATAAGTAGCACTATGCAAAAAATAATAACCTGATCATGTCTCTGTGTATCCATAAAACAAGCGCACACACAAAAATAGAAGCTCTTTCCAATAATGTTGAAATCGGAATATATAAATGCCAGAATAAAAGAGTTAACGTAAAAAAGAGGCGTTGTCCACTTCTTCTCGTTGTATTCGATTTTTCATACATGAATCACATGACTCACACGATGAAACGGAAATGAAATTCGCTTGAACAGAGAGGAACTCAATTTTTTTTAACATTTCACAGATTCCACGTTACATAAACAATTTGTCCTTTATGTGCTGTTTATGCATACGCACGCACTGAACACAATTTTACGGCTTCAAATAAAATTCTACTTGAATATGTGGAAAAAAAGCGAACGGACACAATTGATATAAACGATGCCGTGGAACTGAATGAGCCGTAAATAATAGCCATGAATCTTTTTTCTTGTTCCTCTTGATACGATTAGATTTGGCACCATTGTTATCATGGAATTACAAAAATGTGTTACGCTAAAAATGGTTCAGTTATCGAAGCGGACGTCATTAAGTACAGACGATAACAAGTTGTACAATAAATATCACCATTGATATAAAATTATCGTAATCAAATGGTATTTGTAGTTATAAAATGGAGAAAAATTCCATTGAAGGCGTACAACAAACAAATAACATTGATTTTGGCAATTTGGTGGCAAATATTTTTGTGTTGGCCATCGATAAGAAACTATGGTTTTGCAACCATCACCACCACAACAACAGCAACGACAATAGCAAATACCATATACAGTAATGGCATATTTTTATTTAAATTTGTTTGCGCGCAAGGAGTAAGCAGCCGCAGCAAAAAAAGTGCCATTTCATTTGCTCAATAAATGGTTAGATAAATGATAATGCCAGAAAATAGTAGAGAGACACCATTAAAAACTTAGTAAGTTCATAAATACGTGGATGGAATGTATGATTTGATTCTGGCTCGCAACAATAAATGACAATATTACACACAGTGGTTGTACAAATGGGAAACAGTTATTATAATGATCGGAAAAGGTTTCCTCATATACATGGAAGCAAATAGACACGAAGAGCGAGAGAGAGAGAGAGAGAGATAGAGAAAGAGTGAAAGAAATGTAGTGCGAGAGAATGTGAAAAAAGTGCTCAAACACGTATTTGTAATTTTTCAATGTTGTTTTATTTTGTATTCCTTCTTTCGTTTTGCTGTCCGCGCGCTCTCGCATACAATTATTACTCGAGAATGTGAAATGGTAAATACGTTGAAAATGACTATTGCGCTGATGTGAGAACGAAACGAATAGTGCGGGAAACAGTCAAGAAACAGAAAAATCGAACGCACACATTAGCACACACACAGAGAGAGAGAGATAGAGAGAGTGACACAGACATACATATGTCGTTCATTTTCATTATACACGTAGCACATACTATTTCATTTATATCCACTTGCACACACAACGTTGAATGAATTCACAGATCAAACGGAATATAAGGCAATACACTTAAACGAAATACAAAACAAGAAACTTTAATAATAGCTATTTAGAATAGCATTCGATTTTTTTTTACGGCTTTTTTTGGTTCAAATCAATTTTCTATTTTGAGTTTGTACTAATTACTGTATTTCATAAGTTTCACTCAATTTTCGTATCAATGAAAAAGAAAAACTTCACTCAACATGTATTCAACCATCCAAACATATTTTGTTTGAGTCAAATGCCATTTAACACACATCACACACTAGTTTTAAAAAAAACGAAACACATTCCAACGCATCGCCAATATAATGTTAACATTCAAAAGTTTACTGAAATACGTGTATATAAACTGAAATTAACGCGATAAAAATGCACATATACTGTAATGTCAACGATCATAGCGCGCTCCTCTTGCGGAATTCACACAGAGTACTCCTCATGAAGAGAAGAGAAAAAAGAAGAAGAATTGCTAGTTTATACCGAATCGATTGTTTGCTTCGTATTAACCTTCATTTGAATAAAAATAAAACACCGCAATTTATATTCGATATATATATATATGCTCGAGCAAATTTTGTGTATCGAATTGTTATTTGTACACGCACACACACTACACAAACTAAAACGACGAAAAAAAGGTATTCAATTGAAGCGACGTGGTATCAATGAAGCCGACACACGGTATGTCGTGTACGCGTAGATCCAAACTAAACCTAGCGTAGCCATATTATTTATTGTTCGGCCAACACATCATGTTTGGTCACTGTGTGTGATTGCCTCCTCAACACATTCGAACGCGAATAATCACGTAAAAAATAAAAAAATAAAACGAAACGAAAGAGAGAAAGTCTAAACAATCTAACGCAAGACTCTCTTCACTTATCCGCCGCTGTATATATGTATATATATTTGTATGTTGAACCAAACTATTTTTATTCATTTGACTGACCAGGTATACGCACGAGACGTGTTCAAATGTGTGTATGAGTGCCTTGAATACCTAAAGACAAACTACGTATGCTAGTCGTTTCGCTCACGCATTCAAGTGCAACACTGACGCTGCCGATCAACGCGCCGGTTCAGTCGAGTTTTGTTCGGATGCGTTCATTTACGTACGGTGCGTTAGCGCAATTTCTCATGTTGCTTCTTCCAAATGCGAAGTGTATGACTTACTTAACAACTTAAGTATCTTTTGGATGGTGCTAATATTTGAAAATAATTTTTCGAAAAGAAGAACAAAAAATCGAGTGCAAACGGGGACTTTCATGCAAATTGGGAAAAACTTTCAATTCATTTCGAAAATATTTGTTTCAAAACATGTGGTTGTTCATGTTCTGCAATGAGAACCACATGTAATTGCTTCAATTACACTTACCAATAGTTTTAATGGAGATTCATTCTTCTTTACGGTTGCGTCCACATTACTGATCGCCGATTCACTCTTCGAAATCGATTTCTCATTTTCGGTTTTAAAACGCTGATTCTGCAAATAAACAACATTTAAGTCGAATGGTTTTCGCATTGTTTTCCATTAAACATTTTCCCCCGTTGTAGTTAATATTTGTGTGACACTACGTTTTGACAAACATGCGGTTCATTGTCCATGCACAGCGGGTATGGCAAATGTACACTTACATGCGTACAACAGCAATTGTACTGCGGTCGATCGTCGTGTGATGAATGTGAATTCGTTGCTGCTGATGGAACAATTGATGAGTTTGGGGTACGACGACGCTTTTTTATACGAATCGGAGCTCGGGCTCCCACATAATTCGAAAATCGACGCCTTGAATGTCGCACTATCGACACCCAATCAATCATTATTGTTTATTATTTGCATAAATGAAACGATTCGGTATTCTAAACGTTTGTATACATTGTTCTATTCGCATTGAAACACTTTTATGATCGCATTTTTATGGTAATGGCTGCTTAAAAAAAAAAAATGAACAGAAAATTTCACATTTCTTTATTGGACGATTTGATGGCTCTTTTTATCGTAATTTCAATAAATCTGATGATATATGATTCATTTGAAATGAATCAGCGAATCTGCTAAAACGTTCTTGGCCAATCAATTGAAAACAATGTCGTCGTTTCACTTCTTTTTCTTGGCATTCCAATAGGGTGGTCCAAACTGATTTATCATGGTAAGGTATATGCTCCCAATAGCTTAAAATTAAATTGGGCTCAAAACTAGTTGATTCCTTTTTTCAGATGGAAAAAAATGTCAAAATCAAGTGGTCGATTAAAATGGCTGTTTTTGGCCTATTTTTCAACATATATATTGATAGAAAACCCATAGGTTATTCAAATCGAATCTGGTGACATATAATTTTTTGGGTTTTTTTGGGACGCTAAACACAAATCCGTTGTCTAAACTTAGCTAATATTGCTTTTTAAAAAAGTTTTAGTACAAAAACATGGTTTTTTTAACAAATTCAGCCATAAGTAAAAATAAATGGTTCCAAGTGTATTTTTAAAACCAAATTTGAACTCAGCGCCTCAAATTACCTTAAGATCGACTATGCTGATGACAAAAATCGAATAATCTCAGAACTACAGTTTTCTAGAAGTGTTCACGTATCGGAAAAAAATCACATTTTTCAACGTATTTTTCCACCAAAAGTAAATTTTTGTTCAAAGCAGCCATTTTTACGGTTTTTTAGACCGCAGAATTCGAATCCACCCAAAAAGAAATAACAAAATTTTCAGTGGGAAAAATTGATATTTTTCTATGCATTTATACGGATTTTTTGCGTTTTTTTCGGTTTTCTCCCATAACTCGTACCCCATATGCGATGGAGCAAAACTTTGTTCAGCAAAGTTTCAGATTCCGCTGAAACCTACAATTCTGATGCAAATATATATCAATTATCTCTTATCAGTGAGGAGATATTGGCCTTGATAGCTTTTATCAATCATCACTGTTATCTCCTTACTGATAAGAGATAAGTGATGACTGTCTGCGGCAAAATTATAGCTTTTAATGAGAACAAAGTTCTGCTCCGTCGCATATAGGGTTCGAGTTATGAGGAAAAAACCGAAAAAATGCAAAAATATCCGTATAAATGTATAGAAAAATATCAATTTTCCTACTGAAAATTTTGTTATTTCTTTTTGGGTGGATTCGAAATCTGCGGCCTAAATAACCATAAAAATGACTGCTTTGAACAAAAATTTACTTTTGGTGGAAAAAGACGTTGAAAAATGTGATTTTTTTCGATACGTGAACACTACTAGAAAATTTTAGTTCTGAGATTATTTGATTTTTGTCATCAGCATAGTCGATCTTAAGGTAATTTGAGGCGCTGAGTTCAAATTTGGTTTTAAAAATACACTTGGAACCATTTATTTTTACTTATGGCTGAATTTGTTAAAAAAACCATGTTTTTGTACTAAAACTTTTTTAAAAAGCAATATTAGCTAAGTTTAGACAACGGATTTGTGTTTAGCGTCCCAAAAAACCCTAAAAATTATATGTCACCAGATTCGATTTGAATAACCTATGGGTTTACTATCAATATATATGTTGAAAAATAGGTCAAAAACAGCCATTTTAATCGACCACTTGATTTTGACATTTTTTATCTGAAAAAGGGAATCAGCTAGTTTTGAGCCCAATTTAATTTTAAGTTATTGGGAGCATATGTATACCTTACCATGATAAATCAGTTTGGACCACCCTAGTGAAAAGGATCGAAAATTAAATTAATTCCTTGACGTTTTTGGTTCCGTGCTTATCAAGTGCGCATGCTTCGGCTGATAACTGTTGTGTTTTGTCGAACGATGTAGTCTAGATAGCTATCATATTTATACGAATGGCATCCAAGAGATTTTCGAACTAATTAACAGAATAGTATTCATCAACAACAGTTATGTGCTAGCGTCAGACATCCACATAATTCCGAAAACTTTTCAATAGTCGGATTTTATTGGATTTTCCTATTGTCGCTCTCCCACTTTGCTCGTGTTTTTTTGTTCAGCCACAGAAAGAATTGAACGCTATTTTTGTGTTTATTCCACAATAAAAAAAACTGAATGTAAACAAGCTAAAAATGTGAAATCCAATACCGAGATGATGTTCGGTTGGAAAACAAGATGAAATTTTGTGTTGAAAGAAGCAAATTAATTGTTGTTGTTTCTTTCCATTTGCTTATTAATTTATCACCCGATGTGTACTGTCGAAACTGTATTCACAAACAGGCCCAATTAGTTTGTTATAAAGAAAATTTTTATTTTTCAAAATTCTACGAACTGCTTAGCTGACTTCAGCAACTTGCAAGACTTTATAATAAGATTGTTGACAACAATAGGTAAAAAAAAACATCACAGGAAACCAGTACGAAGACCGTTGTTATGAGTCAACGTTTTGCATGAAACATTTTCCCAAAATGATTACTCATTATTATGCGCTGTATCCTCTGCGGAGGGATATTGATTTGAAATTATATGGAAAACGAAGCGTGCAAAATATATTTTGCCCAAAGTATCAGTCACCATTATTATGCGTACAGCATTGTATTATGTATATATACACACAAAAAAAATGCTAAAGACGGAAATAATGCTATGACGTTGAAATGTTGAATGAACACAAGTAGGTTGGATTTCTTTTCGAAACGTATATATATTTTTTCGTTCACAGCTAATCGATTTTCGTATGCTATTATCAACAGCACAACGGAAAAATATCTAAATTTAACAACATTCTGATCTTTGACTCCCAAAAGCGTGCGTGCGCGTATGTGTCTGTGTGTGTACGGTGTAGGCTCAATTATTTTTCAAATGAAATTCCAAATTACATTGTTCCGCCGTTCAATTTAGGAACAGATTCTTTTTGGAATTTTACCATTTAATTTCATTTTTTTTGTGTCAAACTGGATATCCTTTGTTAAACAAGACATCAAACGGGATATGTGACACTGAATTTCTGCGATGATTCATTCAATTGATTATCAAAATGAGATTTGAAACTTTTTCTTAACTCTGGGAATTAAGTAGAATGTACCAACTAGATATTGTTCAGTCAGCATCTCGATTCTCCGTGAAAAATCGAGACCATATGATTTTGTTTACGCGGATTTTGTGCAACACATTTTTGATTATTTCGAAAGGAAAAAAATAAAAAATTAAGATCTCATCAGGGAACGAATCATCAACAAGATGTTTATTTCAATATTGTTGTTCACTGTGAATTTTAATTTCCAAGCTTTGGATATTTTCTCGTTTCGTTAAGTTTGCTTTATCATCAATAGAGTAGCCCCAATGTTTGTAATCCCCTTTTCTTTTGACTTTTGATGCGTATATTCAATGAAAATCATTCACTAGGATTGGTTTTAAGCCGCTCAAACGAAGCCGTACATTGAACAATGATTTTTACTGACTACAAAGTGAAAACAAAAAAAAACATTTGAAGCGTAAATCCAAAAGCAATATTTCGCCAAGCATCACTAAAGAACCAACGGAAAGTGTCTATCACGAGAGAACGTCGTTCGTTTTTCTCCTTCATCTAAAATAAGACCCAATACACGGATGCTGCCGTGAAAGAATAACTTATAGAGCACTTATTCGAAGATTCCACTTGTTTCACAAATGTTTATTTTCTACTTTTTATGCGTAAAGTTGTAACATCGAGAGCACACTTTCCTTTTCTGCACATTTCGATGATGTTTAAACTATTTTTGACATGTATTTACTTGAAAGATTAGAACCAAGTGTTTAAAATTTCATGTGTAAATATTGTTTGACGCGATAAATGATGGGAATCAAAGAACGTTTTAGCACACACAAAAAATATCAAACAAAGAACTTGCTATAGATTACGACTGGATTTAGGGTTTGTTTTCCTCTCGTTCTTTCGATATTTCTCTATCGGCTGCTTTCGCGCCACAAAGTGTGCATAAATGTGGCACAGGTCTGTGGAATTGCTTTTGCGTTCGAGCGACTACAAATAGCTACTATTTTATATAGCTCGTGCCGTTCACTGATTTATTTTCCACCATACACAATTGGTGTTGAAGGAGAGAGAGCTACACCGAGTAGCTACAACGTTAACTACTACAACGACGCATATATATCTCGTCACCTTCACAGTTATTGAAAATGTCAGGATTGGGAAAAGCGACCGTACACACGGCATATATGTATGCTACACGCGTTCGTTTGGTGTTTGTTTGTTGGATGTGAGCGTAGAAGAACAACAACAACAGCAACATCAAGAACAACAACGAAAAAATACTTGCGTACAAGCGGTTGTTAACGAAACCGATGATTTGCCTTCTAACAGATTATACTATGGTTGTGAGGGTGCGATACTAGACATTCTTTTTTATATATGTGTTATATATGCTTCAATGCATATATATTTCGGAAAAACGAGAGCGCACATAAACACAACTGGCCTGTGTACAATTTTCCATTTCACCTTTTTTTACGGTTTATGCGTGCGTGCGATGAGCAACGAAAATCCGTTGTCATTGGTTATATACAGAAGATGAGATGAGAGTGTTGAATAATATATATATATATATATATATATATAATATGAAGATTGTGAAAATGCAACAGTAGAGTGTGACAAGACGACAAGTGGACACTTGGCTCAATTCACACTTCACCAAATTAAAATCTAACAAACAAAAATCGATATATCTCGTATTTTTCGGAGGATTATTCTTGTATATATATTTTGCAACAGAAAAATGGTTTCAATTATTCATGAAAAACATTCAATTGGGGGAGAGAAAAAAACAAGAAATGTTGAGCATTTAGCGCGAACAATGGTACAAAAGTGTATTCTTTTGAAAGGAATCCCATGTTTTTGTTCAATTTTCTTCAAAGTCGTTATTCCTTCCCATTTTGTTGCAAACATTTTGATCTTTTGTTATTCGAAAATGTTCCCCTGATGGAAAAAGTGTACAAAGCACTCGAAAAGCTGTTGCCTCATTCATTTACATTCGATCGTTTGTCTTACGCCATTTATGAATGGAAAATCGAATTTAATTAAAACTTCAACATGCAAAGGTGCAATGCGTTTGCTAAAGCTATCAATCAAATAAATATGATACATATTTAACGTAATGAACATGGGTAATTCGTATCCGACTGCGAATGCACATAAATGAAATGCGAAGGGAAGGGGAAATTTCTCATTTCATTTTGTTAACAGCTTTTCTGACTTTATTGCAAAATCAATTTCAATTTCAATGCTTCTAATTGAATTTACCATGTTTGTCTTCGTCGAGATGCACTTTAACTAAATACATTTCAGCATTTAACACGTTAAAAGCGAACGCAATCGTTGAACTCTTCCAACTTATTTAACCACTGTGCGCTTTTCCGTGTTTATTTTTACCATTGTTCACAGTTCAATTGACGGAATTCATTTACATTTGAGAAAAATTGATAGAAATCATTCGATATGTTCTACTCAATATATTATTATGCTACTTTTATGTAGAAAATTGTACATTTTCATCCAAAATAGAGATTTTTTCCTTTAAATTTGCATTTACAATGACTTAAATAGCATGACTGATATCATACTTTGTCATCCGTAGTGTCACAAACTATAATAAATTTTACTTCTTCTTTCTGCATATTTTCTTGATTCAGAATGTAAGCATACCTGGCTCTCTGCTAACTCTTGCTGCTCCTTTAAATTGATCAATGCTTGTGTCAATGGCAAATGTGCATTGTTCATAGCAGATTCCTTTGTCTAAGGTGGATAAAAAAGAAGAGCACAAATTGAATCAAACAGAAAGTCATAAATCAATTTTTCCATGGAATTCCGTTTTCCACTGTAGACAAGAAAGAAAAAAAACCAGCGCTTCTTACCTCCGATGCATTGATTTTCAACGAATTTTCTTGCTCCCACTTTGATGCAATTTGGAGTGTTTCCACTGTTTTCTGTTGAATGGTTTTTGTGTCATCTAACAATGTCAATTCGTAGAATTCCTGGATATCTGTTTTATTGAAAGGGGATAGTAATGAGAAGGACAATGAGTATTCAATATATAAATCGAATTCAAAAAACTTTGAGCATCCCATATATTTGTCTCTATCAAAAGAGGAGGAAAATATCAAACGGAGAATGGAACATTTCAAGCAGTGATTCCCCAAAAGTAGACATGTTGCTTTTTTCAATTGTGGAAGTCAAAGAAATTCATAGAAAATATTCAATTCCAAGATGTTGTTATATAGTAAAATCCATATGAAACGAATTTTATTCATTATTTTTCTGTATTGACTTATGAACAATGTGTATTTGTATGGATTTGATTAAAAAAATTGGCCGAAATAATGGTGAATAATCTAGGAGATTGAGTTCAATGGTGGAAATGGATTCTGTTTGGACACAACCAGTTTGTTGTGCTGTTGCGATATATAGCCTTTGATTCGTCCTTCAAATATTAAATTTGAGACAATGCAATGCGTTTCGTCCATGGTAATGTCATTTTCGCCGGCAAATTGAAGAGCAACTAGGAAAAGTTGCAAGTCCAATTGATGCGTTTGTGTGATGAGATATACCTAGAAGGGAAAATCGTTTTTTTAATAAATTCAGTCTTTAATTTTTTCAGAGAAAAACTTAATTTTTCTGACCATCTGGTTAGAAAAACGAAAGTTAAACAGTAGAAAACAATTGTGTGTCTGTTTTGCTTACCCGCTTGAAAAGATTCCGATAGCCGTACATTTTTAACTTTTCAACAATCAAGTAAATGCCATACTCGATGAAAAACTTCTCATGGCGTTGAATGACTTCGTCAAATTTCGATATGTTGCCTTCTTTCAGTGCGCACGCCAGCTCATGAAATTGGAGTACATCGTAACGTTCGAGCATCTCACGTTTTGGCATATATCCAAGTAGCATTTTCACCGGCACCAAGTAGATCAGAATGAGACGCTTATTTTTTGGAAACTTTTTATGGCAATGATTGAATGCATAGCTCAAATACATGTCGGCCGTCTTGTAATCCGAATCGAACATCGCTTTGCGGCCAACGAAATACTTGTACGTGATTTGTTGGGCCAATGGAAATGAGTCTTTGTACGCTGAACTTTCGATAGCACGAATCAATGGTTTGCATAAATGCAGTTTATTGATACGGAAATACACTTTAAACAGTTGATTGACCAAGCTCAACATTCCCAAGCGCTTGGTGTCTTCGTCGGAGGATCTGTTGAATCGATGAAAAGAAACCTTGACATTAGAGAGGTTTTCAAGTAGAATTGAATGATTGAGTTATTTTCAAAGAAAAAACCACATTCTCATACCGGTTATCGGCGGCACACACACGAAAACATCCCATTAAACACTCGGCGGCTTTTTCAAGTATTTCGCCCGGCTTCGATACATGGCATCCTTCATACTCTTCGCATTTTTGTGCCAGAAGCCTCAAATCCAAACACACCGTGTACATTACGGGCAGTGGCCAATTCTCTTCTTTCATTGTTTGCAACATCTTAACCACATTTTGGGCACAGGCCGTTTGATGCTTATATGCTTTCATGTAATTTTTCGCTGCATTTTTAAGTGGCGGCAATTAGTAAAGACGATAATCGACATCGAATTGTATGCGTTACTTACGTGTTCGAGAGAGATAGTACATCACCTTGATGTGTTCGGCCACAACTTCGTCGATTGGTGGATCAACAATGCGTTCCACCATTTTTTCGGGGGATTCAATTTGCAGCTGTGAATTAATCGCATGACGATCCCGTAAAGACACCAATTGAGCCACTAATGCACCGTCTTGAGCATGCCATAAACGAGCGATCGCATTTAAATACGTTGTTATACTCCCAAACATCGCTTCGGTTTTTAGTTCAAGCATCAATTAAACTAAAATGAAAACACAAGCATTTCATATACTTTATCGTTTTTATGGTTCCGGCATCCGGCAAAGAAATGTTTGTATTGATTTAAACATACTTACCGGTATATTAAGAAGGTTATTTCAATTTTTATTATTTAAAAAAAACACTAGACGGTCTTTCAAGTCAATCGACTAAACGAAATGTTCATGTCGAAATGATACGTCAAATGTACTCAACACTACAAAGACAGCGCACGCGCTGAAAATGATATGACATGAATACATTGCCAGAGACATCTATTGAAAAAAATTGGAATTTACTCATTTCAAATATTACATTCTAGTTCTTTTCAATAGAAATTCACGGTAAGAGTTAATTTCATTAGTTTTTTGTTAAATATTTTGTTCTTTTCATAGATTTTGATTTAAATCGAGTATAGAAAGGGGTTTGATGTCTTGAAATTGAATGCGAACGAACAAAAGAAGGGTTTCTAGGCAATTGGAACGATGCAACCTGGCATAGAAACAGTGACCAATTTTCATAATTATTATCAATCAGGTCTGCGGTATAATCAAGATTCGAATATTATGCCTACGTCAAAAATGAGATCTAATTTGTGTCCGAAGAAAAAATTGCCCATTTCGGCGAAGAGTTAATTAAAACAAGACCAAAATCCAAATGAAATCCTCATGAAAGAAAAGTGATATAAATAGGGAAAATAGAGATTCTAATGAGAAAATTGCACGTATGGACATAAACAAGTGAATAGAAAAACGAGCAACGGTGAAATTTGATCTGAAACTTCATCTATCTGTGTACTTTCAACATCCTTTTTCTAATGCTATCAAGTGGAACACAGCGATTACATTTCGCCATTTGATTACTTTGAGATAATGAATGAGGGCAATATCATTCAATACCGCCGGATTTGATTTCACAATGCAGCACAGCGAAATGAACAGCGTATCCCAATTTTGTTTTGAACTCTCTGGCATTTCTCCGTGTTGTATATGTATATCACACTCCGATTGTACCACACACAAGCGGAAGTACAGCAATTATGAACGAAAACAGTGCCACACTCCGTTTCCAGCTATCATCATGCACTTTGTTCTTAATATAATTCAAAATTATGCTTTCACTGTAATAGCAGCGAGGATGCTCTCTCACTTCGAAAACATATCAAAACATAAAATGAAATGGAATCCGAACCGAAAATATTGGGCCAAATCTCTCTTTGATTTGAAGAGAGAGAAAGAGAGCATTCATCAATTATTCGTGATAACAAAGTGGTTCTGATGATAAAATAAAATTGGGGAATAAGTGAAATGTATTACGACGGAATTGATTACATTAAAAGCATATTTTTAAGTAGCATATCGATTTTTCTCTGTTTGAACGCATTCGCAACCGCTAAAAGAGGTTGTTGGATTTTATATGCTCGTCTCTTTCGCGCGCACATACACATTACGGCTTACAGATGAATATGTTACATTCGATACAGATGTATATATAATAAAATGCTGGGATGTCCAACAAAGTCTTTTGAACGGATGCTCATCAAACAAAGCAACACAGCATGGTTCATGTTATAGTCGCCAGTTTATGCGGTAGTTTGATTTGGATTCAACGCGTAAACTGGCATTTAAATGTATTTTAAAGAAATAAAACAGATGATTTGTAAGCAATCTGTTGAAAGTGATAGGATAAAATACTTTCTGAGTCTGGGAATAGGGAAGAATAAACGAAATTGTATTCCATTTGTTTCATTCCGTTTTCCCTATTCGACTAAAATATTGATTTTGATTTTAAAGAAATTGTTCTAATTTTAAATTTTTCCTCTGAGAATACTAGGGAAAAAACGAGATCAGCGGCAACGCGCTGCGTCAATATTGGAATTTAGATACCCAAAAAAAACCCCATCTAAATGTAAACTCTTTCAATGCTACACAGCCTAATTGCCATTGATACGGTCATTTCAATTTAGTCATACCGAGTCCAATAGACTCAATCTCTATGGTAAATATAGAAAAAGAACAAAATTGGTTTTAACCGACGTAATCACTGCTTGATTTGTTCCTCTTTCCACCCTCCCCAAAAAGTCAATTAGTCTCATGCACTTACCCAATAATGCTTGGAATAGCCGCGATTTGAATATCCGAATGACGCGTTCGATTGCAATCCGTAGGGTTCGATCTTGTGGCGCTGAAAGACGTGAATGATAGTCTTCCAACAGCTCTAGCGCACGATGTGCCTCTAAAAAATGGAAACATAAACAGAAAGAGAAAAAAATATGTATGAAACTTGTGAATAAATGATATTGTGTGATAAAAATAGCTGTTCTGTGAATGAAGTATTATTTTGAACAAACGAAGAAGAAGAAAAAACGCAGAACATATCCTTTCTCCCCTATTAAATAATTTGTTGATGACATTTGATTGTCCTTGAGGTGAGAATTTAAGTGAACATACGATATAATTGGAAATACATTCAATATCTGTATATAAGATATAGATAACGATCGAAAGATTCAAATTAGTAGCATATTTTGAAGCTGGGGATTTCTGTTGCTGTCACAGCAGCAGTCAATTTTTATCACTTTATTTGTGCCAATCGCACAAAATATTCAAAGGTATCCATTTGGCTATGATTAAATTAGGATAAATAGTGTAAAGCGATTCGAGAACGTGTCGCATGTTGTCACTTAATGGGAAACATAAATTGGCACACAGCTTCATTATTGTTCAATTTACTGTCAGTCAGTCACCCAGCTCAGTCAATCGCTTTCTCTCTCTCTCTCTCTCTCTCTCATTCGTTCCGAGACACGTATCAGACTTCGGCTTTTGACTTAAATTAATTAAATCTCGACCTATTTGCGTGATTGCCATTGTGTCTTTTTTTTCTCTCTCTATACCATTTGCATCTCGGTGAATCTTTTATAACGTTGTACAACACACACATACACAGCGCTAAGGGAATATGGCCATTCGCAAACAATGGCTGAATGTTGGAAAATAATCAATTTTCAATTTTTGCACCATGTTGCCGGTGTGTGTATATAGATCGAGAAAAGGGAAACAATGACGTTTGCATTTTCTCTCTCTGCTTCTCGGTCTAAAAATAGTTTGGCCACATTCAAGAAAATTGAACTTGTCGGTGACATCGTTCATTGCATGACGCACACTAATCAATGAAATTTCATTACCACCCGAAAACACACATCAAAAATCTCTAAAAAAGAATCTAGAGCACCGATTTAGACGTTACTATGCATAGCATGAACGTATTGTGTGTTTATAATCAAAACGAAGCCAATTGATGGATTATTTTAGTATGGCCTCTTCTGGGCTTGTGATGACTTTAAAATGTAGAATTTTTGTTTCATTGACACTAAGCAATTAGTCCTTAGAAGCAACCGCATGGTAAAATAGTTGTCGATCTTCGTTTCAAATTATGTATGTAAATTAAAATTTCAAGCTCTTTGGATAATTTCTAAGCATTGAATTCATTTTGATCCGAAGTAATCGGTTTAAAAAGAATTCGCAAAATGCAACACCGAAAGCAATTTTCCATATTTGGCGTTAACGTGCGCTCAGCGACAGAAGGAGAAAAAAAAATTACTGCAATGACATCGTTTCGCTAGTTATGCTTTTAATGTGCCTCGATGGTGCTTTTTTTTCTTCGTTCAGTCGTCGAGCAATGCATTTAATGTGTGTTTTTTTTTCTTGTCAAAACTTTTCACATGGAAAACCATTAACTCATTGAAAAGAAAGTAAGCTAATGGAATCAAGCTCTTATTTCAAAATTTATTACATCCGACTAAAAAGCCCATACCCCATCGCATATCATATAGTAAAAACGAAGAAAAAAACAAACATGCATGCCACCTATTCGCACGTTACATCACCCATAGAGCAGTAGTATATAGTGAACATTTCTTATGTCCATGATTTGTTTGCATATTGTGTAACGTGTGCACATGTCGTACACTCTCTGCAATCCCCACACTAGAAATAGCATCGTTGTGTTGTTTTAATCCCAAATTTCGGGGAAAAAACAAAGCAAATGACGAAATGAATGAAGAGATATGCAGAGTCTATAGCTCGTAATTTGTGTGCAGTTATTGTCTGATTTTATTCGTTCATTGGCGTATCGTTGCGCCAAATCTTTGCTATTCTTCTTCAAAATTAAATATATGACGTCTGAATATCTCTTGGCTACGAATTGGATTTTGTGTTTTTTTTCAGCTTCTGAAAATACAAACAAATGCTCCGATTTTACACAATTTTAACAAGTGTTGGCAACTTTATTCGCATCGTGCAGTTGTCGAGTTTTTGTTTTATTTTTTCCGTCGCTTCGATTTTGACATGTTATTCTTATATTTGCCGTAATTTCATCTATGATGAAACGAAATCACATGTTTCGATCGCTTCATTTGATTGTCAGCTTAATTGAATGCAATTTTTCATGCTTGTCTTTAAAATTTCTACCAGAACCCCAAAACCGAAGTCACAACACCAAAGCCAGTCATTTGTGAAATATGATTATGTAAAAAAAACCATCATGTGCAATGAAATTCAAGACTAAACGGGAAATAGGTAGACGGTGAAATAAGAGGTCACATACCTTGTTTTTTCACTGGCATTTTGTTCGTAAGCTTTTCTCTCTTTCTCTCTCTCTCTCTCTCTCTCTCTCTTTCTTTCTCTCTCTCTGTTGTCGTTTGTCGTCTTCCAAAATTCAGCTATCTTTTCAATTAAATGCGTTGAGTATTACTTTTTACACAAATTTTTTGTCGCCAATTTATTTCCATATATTCATTCGGTGTTGGTTTCACTGATGAACGTCTCTGGTTTGGATTTCAAGCAGTGTCATTTCAAATTCTCACTCGAAACTATGTTTGCACCGCCGAATGCACTGTTTATATTCGAAAAATGAATCAAATTAATCACTAATTTTAGCTGTGAAATTCGTTTTAGATGGTTCGATGGTAAAAGAGCAGCCAAATTGAGGTCATTATTTTGTCATTAGTTTTCAATTGAAATCGAATTTAAGGAAACACTGCTTAAAAATGCACTAATTCAATATTTTATGTGCTGTCGACAAGGAAAATAATACGTGGCTTGATTATAGGATTTTTTGATCGAGTGTTTTTTTTCCTGCACCAAAAACTAAACAAAACAATTTCGGTTCGATTTATTTGGATTGAATTTTCAGATTAAAAATTCACTTTTTTTGTTTTGATTTGATAACAAACACCATTTGTACTGTGGCAAGTGTGTAATTTAGATAATTTCTAGAACAGGTACATCTGTGTGGAATATTATATGTTCCTTAGCACATCGAAAAATATTGGAAGAAAAGTTAACGAAAAAAATTGTAAATTTTAACCACTACAAGGATCACAATGACACTAATATAGTTCTATCGACATTCAAAAACTATGTTGCACACACAAAAGACAGGATAAAAAAGAGCAGCAACGAGTTATACACGCAAATAAAAAAAAATGGGGCACTCAAAATCAAAAGTTTGCTTGCACACGGAAATATCACTGTGGTTCCTCTTGAGTACAGCAAATCGATGATAATTTTCTATTCGAAATGTATCCTTGTGGTGTCAGGCTATGTAGGTGGAATTTACATGGAATTTTCAGGTGTGTACTTATTTCTCTAGATATTGAACTAATTTCTTCCGCAAACAACGGGAAAATCGAGATTTCGTATGTTACCACAATCCGTTTGGAGTTCACTTCAATTTTGACACGAGAAAAAAAATGTTTTTTTTCCTCTCTTTTACACTCCCCGAGTTTCCTTTTAGCCCGAGGGTTGCACAGTATGTTGTCAATAGATAGGATTGGACTCGATTTTATGCTACACACCAGAAAAAAAAGATGTCTTACTTCTTCTTCTGTTTCTCTGTGTTTATTTCTTTTGCGAAAACCAGTGGTTGTGTGATTGAATTAATCCTTGCTCGTCATATTTGAATTTGAACACAGAACAGAGAATCAAAGAATTTTGGTTCGATGAAAGACAGAGAAACAGAGAGAACACACACTGTACTTTGTCGCTACTGTGTGTATATGAGTAAACTACGGTTTTTTTAAGTGCTCAATTCTATCTCCCCATCTCGAATGAATTTATCGAACACTAACTGAGGTGCAGCGCACAATTGCGAGGGAGAGAGCAAGAACGTTTCTCTTCTCTTCCTTTTTTTTATTTCTCAATTGTGTGTGCTGGGCACATATACATGCACAATGTGCTCACAGTTCACGTATGTGTTTGTGTTCACTTCCGATGCGTATGTGTTTGAATAACAGTGAATGCTGAGATTCGAGCATGGCACTTTTATGCATGTATTTTTCCCGTTATTTCTTTGGTGTTGTCGCATTATACGATTCAACAGATTTATTGCATTTGAAATATTTGCACCCCTTTTTGGTTGGTTATTTACAAAAGATTGATTCCATGAATATCCAAATAGAATCCAATTGGATTTTTAAGAGTTTCTCTGCCGAATATCGCTTCAATCAAACTGTAAATGAAAAACATGATATCTGCAAGATAAACAAACACATACACATAGAGCGCCGTTTGAATCCTTCAACGCGATAGCGTAGTGAAGCAGAAATTTGAACCTTTATTGAATTTCTGTCTGCATAGCGAACACATACGACAGCTGTCAAAGCAAATGGATGGCTTCAATGAAACGTCTGTGGTTATGTAGCCCATAGCAGTATGTGATAAACATTTGTCAAAATTCTTTCCTTCAACCAAAAATAAACCGAATCTTTTTCTAGCTGAAAATTTACCAAAAAAAATCCAAGGTTTTGATTACTGGATTTACAGAATAGTAACAAGTAAGTGAATAAATGTCAAAGGTTACAAAATGTCACACTGAATCGATTTTTATTTTATCATGCAGATAGAATCGGAGTGAACCTTAACCTACAACCCGATCAAAATAAACACGGTTTGAAATGGCATTTTATGTCGACAAGGACAAGGGAGAGAGGCCAGCCGATGCTATCCATGTGCGGAATGACAAAGTCGGACAATTCTATCGCATTGTTGTAGACACATGGGATAATAAGTCTGAAATCTGGGCACTTGCCTACGGTGGAAAGGTGCTTGGTCTTGCTGGTGCGCTCAGTGGAATGTATGGAAATGCGTACTTTCGCCGAAAATTACGACTGAAGAATTATGGATTTTTTTCAACTTATCTACCAAATATGGCACTGCCATTTCTCATTACAGCCTCATTTCATGAATCGGTATGTTTTAAACCTTATAAGCACCTAATGAAATACAGACCAATTGTACCTTTCTTATGAAAATGATTAATGATTTACAGTATATACAAAAAGACATTTTTGTGGATCCATTGGGTTGTTCACTGTGCAAAGGTACCCGGGCTGCTGCCGTTCAGGTTATTTTCGGACTGATACAACCATTAGTTTTAGTACCCGCTTCATCGTTTATGTTTGCGACAAGACATTTTACTCTACGTATTCCGTCACCAATACGAGATCGCAAAGACTTTCTCAAGTTTTGTAGGAAAATGTTTATACCACTAAAAGTGCCGATGGGCATAAATGTTGCTTTGCAAACATTATTAGCGTTTTTCATCACACACATGGAAGAGAATCATTTCTTCTATTTGCAACAGGCGATAATTAAACCGGACACTGAACAAAATGTAGCAACTGAAGAAGTGTAAAACAAATGTTAGAAGAAGAATCTTAGGAATCATCCATACTTTTCTCGTGCTAATGAAGCAATTTTAGATTTTTATTGAGACGATGTAATGAATTAACGATGAAATTTGATGATGATGATGTTGTTGACTCGTTTCAAGCTAGAAATATTTTCAATAAAATTGAACAAAACAAAACAAATGAATTGGAATTTTCAATTGTTACTTTAATTATCAAGTGATCATTTACAGTAACAATGTGTGGATACTTGGTTTTTATTTGGAAAGAAAAAAATTTGCAATATAGCAAGTGACAAATGGTAATTAACAAAAATCCTATCGATGAGATCGAAAGAAAATCCCAATTGGACACTACAATCAGATTATTTCAAGGTTTATTCCCAAAATGTTACACCATTAAGCTCGTGTGGACTTGTTTCTTTATCTCTCGAGATTTCCATTCAATCGGATTTATGCCCAAAAAAAATCTTCCTCGTACTCCTTCAATCTGAACTTTTTCTCAGACTTTCTTCCTTGGATCTCCCTCGATTTCTCTCACTCTCACTCCAACCTTTCCCGCGATTTCAGCGATAGTTTCAACGAAAAAGAAAAACAATAGAGGTAAAAACTTTGCACGTTGAATTTTGAACTTCAAAATTTAAAAAACAATTGGCGTTTTGGGCTTTGTTTGATTCACAAATAAAAACAAAAACCATTTATACAAATTAGAGAAAAATATTGACTGCTATTTATTCCATTTTTGTTTGTTCATCGAGCTAATAATGTCAACGATGCGAAAAGAGCGAGTGGCAGTGAAATAGCATCACATTTTTATGATTAAATTTCTTTTTCTTTTAATCGAATCGGATACAATGAAATGAAATTGAATGAAACGATTCTAACATTAACTGACTAATTATATATATGGTTGTAATGTAGAGAACATTGAATAATTTGAAATTGTTGTCTTGTCTGCAAATATATATATATATATATATATATATATATATTGATTTGTTTTGTTTATTTGCATGTAATCTTTTATTTCCTTTGGATAAAATGGATAATTCAACAACAGAAAAAATAGATAAATCGATCAAGTTTCAAACGAAGATAGTTTTTCGAATTAGATGAAATTTTCTCTTCTGAATTTGATTTGTTTCAATTTTCACACTTTCGATCTTTCGACGATCCTTAATGTTTAATTGCTTAATATCTAGAGAGAAAAAAAAATGTTGTACGAAATTCTGAAGAGAGTAATTTTTTTTGTTCTGTTTTGTTTTTTTTCATTCCTCTTGAACTGTTCAAAAAATATGATTTCTGCTCTTTCTCTGACGGTTACAATTGATTGATAGGTAGAGCTCTATTTTCATTAAAATTGTCTGATAATTATCCTACATTGTAAGTAATATTCTTAAGTAGTTGTAGTGTTCTTTGATCAAAGTGGTTAACATTTTAAGTGAATTAAACTGTTTAAACCATTTTTTTTGTATTTGTTTCCATTTCACTGCGATTGCATTGTTAATGTGTCCGGATTTACGTCTACCCAAAATCTTAAACCTTTGACATCAAAATTTTTATTATGTTTTAACATATTCTATTGATCAGAAATATATTTTTTTCACACATTTTTTTTTTGTTAAATTTTAGAGATTTAAATAAACCAAAGAAGAAAAAAATAATCGCAAAAATAAATCGATCTCATTCTCATACTGTCTTTAAAAATTGAATTTCAGGGAAAAAAAGAGTTTCTTATCGCTATTAGAATTGGAGTTTTGTCGTCGAAAGTACTAACGCATTAGTATACGATGTGCTGTTGAATTCCATTTGACAATAACGGCATGATGGAGCTGTGGTTTCAAGTGTGGATTTGGTGCTGCCGTCGTCGCCGCCGCCGTCGATGAAGATGGAATGTTTATACCGTTAGCACACACCGATCATTTTGCCCGATTGACGACGATCAGCAATATCACGATATTCACCGTAGGTCATATGAGTCTCGGACGATTGATAACGCGTCAATTTGATCGAATCACGAACTTCCTGTGAAATATGTCCGCGATATCCACCTTTGCGAAGCAATGAATCGATCGTTTGGATTTGATCCCATCCTAAAATATAATAATGCAATGCAAAGATATGTTAATTGACACGTTTTGAAAATCGAGGCACCAATCCATTTTGGTTCAAATGAAACAAATCCACTGAAGACTTTACCTTGCTCGGAAGCTACCTTTGGCAAATAGGTTGCACTACGTTTACTACCACGTTCATTTAAAAATTCGATACGAATTCCATGCACACCAATAGTCCAGTCGAGATAGCTATCGGCCTCTTCGAAATTCTATAATCGGATATTAGCACAGGGAGAGAGAGGCACAGCTTGTATTGACTGTTCACAAATATTTCAATTGGGTCAATTTTACCTGCAAAATCGACACCGAAACAGTCAACTTGGCGAATTCTTCACGGCCAATCGGAGGGAAACGGCTGTCTCGTAACGAGCTAGTTAGGGCATATTCTTTTAGACCTGTATCCAGATGAAAACGAGAGTCTCACGTTTATATTATGAAGTTATATCCATTAAAATGGTGAATAATGTACAAAATTGTAAAATAGCCACACATTGCTCACCTGAATGCAAATTCATCGAGTTGAATGTCCCAATGCAACCGCGCAACCGTCGGTCTCGACCAATATGCCAAGTAACGAACAACGGACTTAAAAATGATTGTTGATTTTGATGTTAGATTTTGTGATTTGAACTTTTTGTCTTAAAATTAATTTTTTTTCTTTAATGTTGTTTTACGGATCACATTTTCTTCATCTATTTAGAAACGGTCTATATTATCCACACTTCAGATACTTACTAGGCTTCATTTGTGAAATTGGCCTCTGGTTGATCGTCGCTGCGATACAGTTCGTGATACAGAACCTCAAAGCAAAAGAAGCACATTTCCGGATTTGCAACTTGTTCGATGCCACCATAGCCATTTGAGCAAATACCGTTATGATTGGTCACATGATTATGGGTGCCGTTCGATGTTGATGAGCCGGGTGCAATGCCATTGGTTTTGGCATGACTGGCTTGAGTATGATTGCATTGTTGATTATTCATTCTTTGTTTCTTTGTGCCACAACAACTGGATGACATTTCACAGACGGATTTCGTCGTTCAAATTTACGCGATTTTATTTTAGACGAAACGACCAAAATAATCTCGGAATCAAATGTAAAATTTGTATTTGTTTTCTCTTTGTTGTAAATAATTTTAAAATACGATGTGAGTGCTGATAAATAACACAAAGACTTCGTATTACTTTTTATTGTCGATCGCTGTTTCCACCACAGTAAACTGTGAATATAATCTTTGTTTACGTTTGTTGTTGTTTCAAATTCGTGCGATGGTGTCGCCTCTGTGTAGCTGTACGTCGTATTGGTAATAACACAATATTACAACTGCATTGTTTCAAGGTTGTAAAGAAAAATAAAGAGAGCAAAATTGTAAGCAAATCGACAGAACACTTCAAAAGTAGCAAATCATGATTCGGTGATGTTTTACCAATATTTCAAATCAATTGGATTCTGTTTCGATGGATGTGCGCGTTAGCTTTCTCTTTCTCTTTCTTTCTCGCTGTAATCTATATATACAAATTTGATGTAATTAACTGGAAATTGATGTGTTTTTTTTTCTGGGAAGAATTGGAAAACAAATCCAAAGAAGAAACCCACCAAAATACGCCTATTCAGTGTTGTAGGTACGGTTTTAAAGGCCAGAAATAGAATTCTTTTTCTCGTGTATGTGCGTGGTGAACAACAAAATCGACTTGAAATTATGGATGGGTTTTTTTTTCTTCTCTTTGTTCGTAGATTTCTCTCTCACGCTTGTATTGCCTTATATGGATGCACTTTCTTTTAGATTTCGGACGACAAAGAAAAAAATTCAAAAATCGAAAATATGATTTTCACGCACACACATCGGGCCTTTACTATGATTTATTTGAACGCAGAATGTTTGAATCTTCGTGGATACACTTCATACTGCAGTCATTATTAGCACAAAGAACCACACTCGCTACGCTTTTTTCCCGTTCGAACTTCTTTATTCTCGAATGATGTCCACCATAACTAAAACCAGCTGCTGTTATGACACCGTACTTACAGTCACAACACACAAAGAAAATTTCATAACAAAATAAAGAAATGGGCTGCGTTCAATGGCCAACCATAATGGGAACATTCATCTTCGGTGAAACACACTTGAGTACACTTATATTGTTTGAAATTGAAATATCGATATTTCTATTGATATTTTCATTTGCTGTGAATTTATATATTTGATTTTTGAATAGAGTTTCAGAATAATGACACAGAGATAAACAAAATGTTCATTACATGCATGTATATGATTGTTATGATTTTTCGTACTTAAACTCCTATTTAAGTACTTGCTTTTATGTGAAATTCCCATGTAATCTCATAGCAATTGGTTCAAATAACACATTTAAAATTCCAATGCGTCAGTTGAGATAAAAAAAACAAACGCACGCAAAGCAAACAAATCGAACAACAGAACTAAATAAGGATGGAAATAACAATGAATTGGATCTTTTGCAAGTTCGTCTTTCCGTTTATAGATGTTTTGAAACCTACTTCTACGAATCATTGGCCATTTATAACTATTCTTACCAGACGTGATCAGGATAAATCCATAACTTCGAAACACAACACACCGTTCATTGGACGGCCTTCAATGGCACTGTTATTTTTGAAATGGTATGGCTTTTATGAAACCTATGCTGAAAACATCAAACTACACAAAATTTCAACATAGAATCGGTTCGCTTTATTTGCTTTAATCTAACCATTGTGTATTTTTAAATAAAAAGTCGATTTTGATCATTTTATTTTCGAATGAGATTTTTCTTAATTTAACTGTGAAAGTTGATTGTAGTTCTTTATTTTATCGGTACATTCGTTCAGGAATTGTTCGACAGCAATTGGTGTCCATAGAATCAAAATAACAGTGATTTTATTAAATCAAACGATTCAACGCGTTGAATTTCGATTAGCTTCAAGTCGGTCTCCGTTGTTTTCCACTTTGTTGCCAAGTAATTCGATTCGGGGATGTAAATCGTCACTTTGCTGACGTACAACGTTTCGGTCAATAGCTTTTCACGTTCACGATTCATCGTAACTGGATCGATAGCTTGGTTGGAATTTTCGCCCAATGTCATGACGACGTGAATCTTCTTCAATTTCGGTGACAAGTGCACAAACGGTAAAATGTCATCGATGTTGGCCCTACAGAAATTCACTTCAATGAGATTTTCAAGGCTCCGTGCTAATGCTGGCTTGTTTGCGATATTTTCGACGCCACTTCGAACTGTTAGTACTTTTAAGTTTACAAGTGATGACAAATCGACCGTTTCTGTAATTTCTTTTGCAACAAATCTGACAAGGGACTTCAACGAGATCAATCTGTCGACAAATTCTTGATTAGTCTTATCATAGTTCATGATATGTAATCGTTTGTATGCGCCTTTGGCATGTAGTGAATTTGCGAATTCGCAGATGTCCTGTCGTAGTGGAACAAGAACAATACCCAAGTCGTCCAGTTTGACTTCCATCATCGTGATTTGGTTCGGCAAGAGCAACCATGACATCGCTGATAACGAGCGAATGGACGAGTTTTGTCGCAAAAACATTTCCAATTGGCCAGCCTGAACTGGTTGTGCAATATTTTGAGGGTACCATGCGAAATGCTGCAGTTTCAGGTATTTTTGGGTGAACCAGTCAAAATCACTTCTATGAATTTTCAAGCTTTTCATGTTCGGAAAACGTCCAAGAACACGTTCAAAAAACGGTTCGTTCATTTCACAACGTACCACGCGAACTTCTTCGATTTGGTTTGAGAATTCCTGTGGCATCATGTTGACAACATCCAAATTAATCCTTTTGAATTGGATTTTCTTAACTGATTTAAATAAAGCCCAATCAATGTTGATCGAGTTCAATGCATTAGTGAGGTCCTCGATTATTAGAATTTCAGCATATTCACGAAAATCAACAAATTTACAATCATAATGGAAGCTAGTTCCTGAAAATTGTTGCTGATAAAAATGGCCGGCAACCCGTTGCATGCGTTTACACGTTTGTCCAAAAGAATGTAGATCTTTGATTGAAAGATATTCAAACATCTTTTCGAAGCAATCGACGTTCAGTTTGAAGATTTGCGGTGGTTGTTCAGCGGCCATGTTTTGCTGTGGTTCGGTCACGCTTTTGCCTGTTCGCCTTCGAGGTTTTGTTGATCCATTATTGAAAGGAAAATGACTGATGTGATTGACAAGTGTAATCCTAATTGAAATGACATCCAAAGAAAAATTCCGATTAAATTGAAGTATTCTTATCAATAGATTTGGAAAATGTTCAAAATCAATGAATTCAATCGAAAATAGTCCCTACCAAAGTCTCTTTTCTGATTGTGGAATGCTGACTCAGCAACTTGGAATGGCGTAGAATGTTCAATGTAAGTCGTCGTGGTTGCACAAACGCAAAGCAGATTGATTCTGAACCAAATTTGCACATAAGAGAGCTAATATTCATCGACGATAAATAGAGTCTCTTCAAAAACCCATCGAATACTTTGGAGATTAATTGAAATATCGTATGAATATTCGTTGCAAAAGAGAGTTCTAAGTGTTTGCACGTTAAGCGGTGAATTGAGTGGCAGTTCAGAGCGCAATACATATGACCATACCGAATCGGTTGAAAATGAGACAGCCTGTGTACGGTATAAAAACACATCGTCGAACTGTCAAATAGTATCGCTTTGAACGAAAGAGTTCAACGGTAATTGAATGAAACACAACCGATGTTCATGATAAAAATGGCTATGACAAAAACAGAGCGAAAGAAATATTATCATGGAGTGTAGAATGTTTATTTAAGTCGCTCGCATATGATTACAAGCAAAAAGTTTGTTTAGCTTACACTACACGTAGAATCAAACATTGCAGTATAACTCTCGTTTGCAGTTTGTGTTATCATTTGTTTAAAGAACACGATCCAAATGAAACACAGGCTACCCAAAATATATTATGCATGTATTTGGATTAGTTTTTATTTCTGAGAAACATGTGTAATAAGACGTATTTAGAAAATTGTTTGTAAACACTCATCATTGAAGTGCGATTTGGAAATCAAACGGATATAAGCGTTACAAATACCACATGAAATGTAAAATGGCAAAATGAAAATTTTTTAACGTTGTTTTTTCTTCATCGCGGAATGTAATCACAGTCCAAAACTGTTGACTGTGTTAATGAGAATAATCTTTGGCAAGTATGCACCACATGATAAGTAAGGCATTCTTCATGTTGATCGTCTCGTTGATCGGATGAAATCGGCCATACAATTCTAAGAATTGAATCGCACTTTTTTCGTGACGTTCGATGGTGGCCAATGGCAGTTTTCTAAATTGATTCAATGTCATCAAGGTCAATGCAATTCCATCTTTGTAAAGTTGATTTGTGGTGAAATTAACCTCATCAGCTGTAGGCAAACGAATATTCTCTGTGCACATCATGCATCCACATTTGAAATGATGTTCATGCTGGAGTTTTGTAATCAAACTTCGGTGTTGGTCGAGCTCCCACAATGGAGGACTGAAAGAGGTAACAAACTGACTTAGAATTTCGTTCAACCTCTCATTCAATAAACTCACAACTATGATCGGAACAGTTGTTCGCCTTTTTTTATGGGACGGATGACCTGGCACACCATGTAGCTGAAACAACTTGCATAACACAAGACATTCGGATTGCAGGAATGACTGATGTAACTTCCGATCGGGTAGATTCCACTGCCAAACATTTGGAACGTATGATTTTTGGTGATGCCATCGTCGCCACTTCCCTCTTGCCTGTAGTCGTACAAATCAATTGCGTATTTCGCGATGTGAAACAAATGTAAAATCAAATGTTTCAAGAAACGACGATGTTTTTTGGTGACGAATTTTCGGTTAAAATTGGCGATATGCATGATGCGTTGGTAAGCACAAGCCGACGCCTGCAGTAGACTTTGCATTTGTTCATCCGATTGCTTTTCGTGGTTGTGATTCATTTGGAAAATTGAACAGAATGCTTTCTGCTGGTCACCTGTCAAATCGGCCATGTAGTAATTGCCCTTTCGAAGAGATTCGATCGCGTTCAACAGTTGGTTCACGCCTTTGTATGCATCGTTGATTTCGAAAAGCACCTGCAGAACCAAATCAAATGTGTGCTTCGGCCCCGAGTATGGGATGTTGCAAATATGCTTATGGTAAGACATTTCCAGGCAACCTTCACTGCTACAAAAATAGGCACCACACTGGTTGCATGTGATGAAGTTTTTGAATAACTCAAAACAATGCGTACAACGATTTTTATAAGACATCGATGACTGATTTGGCACAATCGAATACGGTTTTTCATGCAGAACAATTTGACCTATTTGAAGATCACATTTTGTGATTATATGGCGACCGTATGCCATGTTTCGTTGAATTTTCAAACAGTCTGCCACACCTTCGAACTTGTCATGTTCATTGAAACTTAAGCGTAGGTCACGAACACGAAATATAGCCGGTTGAAATGTTTCAGTGGTCAAACGTAAAAAACACTTCTGGTAACGGTCATTGAGTTTGTGCATCAGTTGTGGTGGATAATTTGCTGCCTTGGCCAAATCAATGTCAGTCATGGCGTTCATCGGCATATTCATGCGCACATAGCACGCTGAGCGATTTGCAAACGCCAATCCCATTTCATTCGTTCCAATTTCTGCCAACGCCAAGCAATTGTTGAATTCTTCCATCGCTTCGAATAACTGTCCTTTTCCAAAGTATTGTTTGCCACGTTCACGCGACACTTCAGCCAACATATTATTTCGTTGCGACAGGCGGGGTGCCTTTTGAAAACCACTTTGTATTTCATAGCCTTTTATTGCAAAAATATCAACGTACAAATTCCACAAAATATTCAACATTGCCGTCATTGTGACTGGTTTCAACAATCAATAACTTTTGCTAACTATGTTTTAATAACAGAGATAATCTACCTGTTGACAGCAGTTCTTTCTTTCACGTTCGTATTCAATTGAGTATTGATGCACTCGTGGTGAATCACATTCTACCCCCAATGAGGAAAACGTTACAGTTGTACACATTTTGTGCACAGCTTATGGAGAAATTATATTGGCCGTGCACAAAATGTGTACAACTGTAACGTTTTCCTCATTGGGCCATTTCACTGGCAATACTAAGATAATGTTTCACCTGCGTCAACTCTGAATTTAAAAAAACGTTGTTTTTGGCGCGTATTTGAACACTGTGCAAAGTAGGTCAAGAACAGTTGTAAATACGGAACAAAATGTGGAATTTTTTTTTTGTTGAGAACTCTTCGGTGTTTTATTACTTACATGTTAAAAACCAACACACATAGATATAAAAGTGAGACAATATCTGCATGCTTCAAGTTCAAATAGTCATCCAATCTGGTCAAAATTAAAAGACCAAGAAAAAATTCCGAAAGAATTAAAAAACTAAGAAAATTTAAATCAATTGCAAACAATGTTGGAAACATACGTCAATTTTTTTTGTAATTGTTACAAACATACGTTTACCGATGGCTCAGCATCTCAGCATTTCGTATCTGCGGATATATCCGAGCATATCGACGACGCAAGTCACTGTGTTGATGTGCACAGCTACATCGACTACACACGAGCACTGCGCTCTCTGTTTGTGTGTAGTCGATGTAGCTGTGCACATCAACGCACGCCACTTATACAGTGACGATTGGTGTGATCGATAAGTGTAATCCTGATTGAAATGTTATCCGAAGAAAAATCCCGATCAAGTTTCTGTGTTCTTGTCAACAGATTTGGAAAATTGTCAATTCAATCAAAAAAAAATTCTTACCAAAGTAAGGAACCTAACGATGGTGGAATGCTGATTCAGCGATTTGAAACGGCGTCGAGTATTCAATGTAAGTCGTCGTCGTTGCACAAACGCAAAACAGATTGAATCAGAATTTCTAAACCGAACAAAATATTCACATAAAAGAGCTGATAACTAATTTTATCGAATAGCTCTCGTGTTTATTTCGAGATATTCTCAACTTGAAGAATCGACGAAAAGTAAAATTTCTTCAGCGAACAACAATTTGGACAATGACTTGTGTGATGTGACTGGAAAAAGTGTATTGCTTGTAAATCAAACCGGCGACTTTGACAGTTGATTTGAAATGTAGATGAACTATATTGAATCGGTTAAAATTGAGACAGCCTCTCAACATCAAACTGTTAAACACTATCGTCGCTTTGATCGAAAGAGTTCAACGGCAATTGAACGAAAAACAACCGATGTGATGTTCCGTGATACAAGTGGCTATGACAAAAACAGAGCGAAAGAAATATCAGAATTGAATATAGAATTTTTATTTAATTAATTTTTCTTTATTTTTTATCATACTTATTGAAGAGGTATTTCCATTAAAAAAAATGATAATGTCGCAATCAACTCATCAAAAACGATTTTTCTTACGATAATATTTGAAAATGTGTGGAAAAAGGATTTGATTGATGATCTGCTTCAATTGAAATATGATAACAATATGAAACGATTTCCGAAGCACAATTTCACCAAAGAATTTTCTTGGTAAATTAGAACCGGTATGAAATTGAGAATAGTTTACGTTCGAACTTAGAAATTTGAACATCAATCGTTCATATAAACCGTTGTATGTGACTTTTTGATTATTGTGGGCTAAATTTGATTTCATACAGTTAACACTTTGCCCATTCTCCATTTTCATAAGGCTATACCAATCTAACTCTGAGTTAGTAACTCATCCATGGATTAAGTCAATGATCATTGATCAAGGTCAAACACACTTGAGTGAATATCTCCGGTGAAAGTGGTTCCGAAATCGTTTCGCATAAGTGAAAAGCGGAGAAAAATAGATATGAATGTTAGAAATAAAGATCAATAATTGCAGAATTGACACAATCATTCAAAAAGTTTACAATTTAATTGTTTTTAGTTGGTTCGAGTTCTTCTCTTAAAAGTTATTTAATTTCAGTGATATTCATTTTTATTTAGTACGAATGCACTTTTGACAATTTTTCTTTTTCAATACAATAAGGAATTTTAACCGCTGAGATTGATTCGGTTATTCTATGATTTGGTAAAAACTTCACATAAACTTGTGGTTTTGTTTGAAGAAAAAAACTGATTTTTAATAAATTTGGCAATTGGCATTGCGAGTACGAGTTAAAAGACCTTAGATTTGATTTTTCTTGGTTGAAATTTAGTTTTTTTCAAGGGATAAAAGAACCAACAGTTACATACATGCAGAAGATTGTTGAAATGTTTATGTTTGTTTTTATACAGCTATTCAAAATATGTAATAAATTTGCATGACTTCAAAGATTGATTGATTTTGTGTAAAGAATGCCTTGTGATTGGCCATTTTATTTGTTGTTATTTTTAGTTGAGATAAGACATTTAAGGACGTTGTCAGAATAAATATTTCATGCTTGATTCTATTTTCATTTTGAATTTTTTTGAATTGAAAAAAAAAATCGAATGTCTCCCTTTTCGAGTTATAATTTGACTTGATTTATTCTTGTTACCTTTGGTTGATTATTACTTGTAATGGGATTTGAAATGGACTTCGAAAATATTTGAAAGAGAGTCAATAACAATATAAAAAATTGTGTAAGTTTGAAAGATTGTTGCGGTTGCGGTACGTATTCGACAATTGTTTTTTTTTTATAATAAAGTGTGTACGTTATTAACATGGATGAATTTTTTTGTTTGGTTGATGTTGCGAAGTGTCTATTCCACGGCACAATCAATATTTTTAATAGATCATTTTTCAAGTATGAAATTATACACATTTTGAATTGCATACACGTCTAATTCAATTGATAGATTGAACACACGCAATATCCAATCGATTGGGTTGATATTAATATTAATATGTCCCCATTTTCCAATTTAACTCAATATCTTTCGTTTACTTTGGAAATAGATCATGTCGTTGCAAGGAAAATAGCTGGTATTTGGTTCGTGCAAACATGACACATTCCATTTTAAATGCATGTATTGAAAGTGTGTATACGATTCAAACTGTGTCGAATTTCCACCTGAACTAACTTTTTTAATGGAAATATTTTTTTTTTGTACAGAAATTAAAGAACAAGTTTAAAGTATTTTTTTTTCAACTCTATCGAGCTACTATGCATAAATTCGTATTTATTTAACAACAAATTTGTAAAAATTAAAGATATAACAGAAAAATCACAAATTACAGAGAAAAAAAATAGTATTCAACTAAAATTATATGGATGCGATGGACACAAAAGAAAACCATATACTAAATTCATAAAATTGTCTATAGAAAAATCAATAGTTAATTCATAAAATCTATGTTTTAAATAAATAGACCACCAAAGAGAAGAGAGAGAAGAAATAAGTTTGCTTTGCAAAATGTGTTAAAATGTCTATTATAATAGATAAAAGATCTGTGTGTCAGTGTAAAACATGAATGACTGGGTTGTCTGGATCGACAAGAGATGAATTTAAATAGCTATCAATTGTATATAGATAGTACCAACTAAAATACCATGACTTTGCCGTGATTTTTTTGAACAAACATTAATTAATTTTAATAAACATTTGTTGTTGTTGTTGTTGTTGATGCTCTTGTTGCTATTTAGAAATTTGCACAAAATTGTCGGGGGAATAATTTCATAGTATATTCATTATGCTTAAATTACCAATTCCATAATTTGCGAAATGGTTTTGACATGTATCATTAGGAGATTTTCATGTTGTCGCTTAAAATCGCTTTTGAATTTGTTTCGGTTGTATTTTTTGTACTAAAATGAGGATCAAGAAGAGGCTAGGGGAATATCACGCTTGAATAATTTCAAATATTTCAAGAAAATTCAATTTATCTCTAAGAATCTGTCGTATGAAATATGGTGGATATTTGTGAATACGGCGGACAATTGTGGATTTTTGTGATTATGAATGATATTTAAATGTATTTTTTCGGATTTAATGCAAAAAAATCTCAAATATCTCCAAAATCCACAAAAATCTGATTTATTTATTCGAAATATTCGAAAATATGTCATACAATTGATGTTTATTTCAAATATCTCAAATATCTCACAAGATTCAGGAGCGTGATATTCCCCTAGAAAAGAGGTTTTGAATAAGTTTATGAATGGATTTGAAAAAAAATTGTGGGTTAATATTCGTGTTTTGTATTGCGTTGTTATTTGAATTGTTTATATTTTTTGGAGGGAAAAATGGATTGATACAGTTAAATAGAAATAGAGAGAGAGAGAAATGGATGCAGAGAATATTCACTCTAATTACGGTTTGATATTCGTTTTTTTGTTGTTAATTATTTGCTTGTATATTTCACGATTAACGTGTCCCCCCACACGTATGATAAATCTTCATTTTTAAGCTAGACATGCCTTAGTGCGGCATTTTATTCGGAAATCAAATTTTTTTATAAGAAAATATCGAGATGGAACGATGATTAAATGCCTGTGTAAAAATGTGGCAAGTAAATTTGAATATTCCCTACAATTGGTTTAGGTTTTACCCTATGTGTTGTACGTTCTATTTTGGTTTTTTGTTGTTGTTGTAGTAGCAAGAATGTTCAAAAAGACTGGGTTGATCACTTCATAATAAAAGCATATTTTGATTTCGTCGTAGATAGAGAGTTTGTTTTCGTTTAGTAACTAATGTCAAGGATGTTCGTGTTTAGCTTTGAATCAAAAAAATTCCTCTTCTGTTTTCTTTATATTGAATGAATGGGTTTTTCTTTTACTAAATTATCTAAAAATGGATTGTTTATGATTAATATTATATTGGATATATAACTAGTGACAACAAATATGATGAAAATTCGAGAGAAAAAAACAGCGATTTTTTGTTCGTGTGAAACACCTCAGAAATATTTCCGTTTAGATTCACGTTATTTTTTATAACATAGAATTTTTCTTTTCTTCTTCAATAAAGTCTGTTTCAATGGGGCAATTTTCAATAAAAACTGCTTCAATTCGAACTACAGTACTAGATACATAGAGGATCGAATTTCGTACAGCTTAGCAAAATCACAAAATGAGATGCGTGTATGCATGATGCATCTTTATGGCAACAATTTGTGCAGTTTAGCCATCGATTTTTGTTTTTTTTTTCTCTTGAAAATTTATCAGTGCTAGTGAATTGTTTCGACTAATAAAATCCTCAATGCTAATGTTTAATGATTCCATTTGTGAAATGTTTGTGTGAATAAAGTAAAATCATTTAATGGAATCGAGATTTGCCGGGTGTGTTTGTGTGTGAATTCACAATGAAAAATACAATTCGAAAGAAAGAAGAAGAAAACAAAGCTACAATGGATGAAATATATTCAATATTTCATCGCTGTTTCACCGCTGTTTGTATGATGCCATTGATTTTAGATTCTTTTTAACTGCACTGATTTTTTTTTCGTTTTCTTTTCTTGTATGTCATGTTCAAAACATTAATGCAATTTGTGCAATGAGATATATTATAATTATTTATAATTTATGTTACTTTTGTTTTCGAGCAATTTTGAATTGTATTAAATAAATGAATAGCTTTCTACCTATTTGTGTGTGTTTTTTTGTTAGATTTTTTTCTTTATCTTCTTTTGTTTTTGCTATGTTTCACTTAATTCGTAAATCGTTCAAGGGCGTTCTTAAACAATAATAATGTTCATTTCAAAACAAACGTGGAATATTTAACGAGACACACGAAGAGACTTATTTCTGTCATTTCATTTGGGTCTCCTTGCATTTTAAATTTTATTGGATTATTTTTCGTGTATTTTATTTTTTTCATTCTTTTTTGTTTGTTTGAATATGGAACTTTTTTTTTTATAACAATACAAATGCATTCGCTAAAAAACGGTTTTTTCTTTGTTAATGTTGAATTGAAGAGATGGTTTTGAAATAAGTATTCATATCATTTTATAACTATTTGCTAATTGGTGCTGTTTGAATGTGTGTTTGTTAGTTTGTTTTTCATTTCAATTCTAAGATAAATTTTCCATTCAGCGCTTGTGTCAATGGAATGGTAACACTTAGAGTAATGATTTCTCTGTTTGTTTGTTTTTTTTTTGCTTTTTTATATGCTAAATTTCTTCGTAATTATTTTATATCAAATATTAAATGTAAAACACAATTGAAGACTGGAGTCAATAATGTGAGAATTACTCCAACAAAGATGACCAAAACAGGAACCAAAACCGAACGGTTTACGAAAAATAGTTGGTTTGAGAAAACGCGATTCAGAATAGACACACCGAACGAACAAAAAATTAAAATACACACACAAATTTCTCTAGATGAAAGACATCACAGAAACGATGCATGTATACGAGGGTATTTTTTCTTTTTCTTCTTTTTGTTTCAATCAATTTGTTTTAAAATGATTTGGATTCACCTTCTCTCTCTGTTCGACAGAAAATAAGTTCATTTTACGATGAAATGAAACAATTTTTACAAAGGATACAACACTATAGTTCACATGTGCACACACCGATTTTACACTGAGTGAAAGAAGATACACGAGCTCGTTTTCAGTGACCGACCACTTTTCGCCAAAACGTTTGGTTCGTTTGACGAAAAGTCCAGCAACAAAAATGACTAGTAATTATTTGTTTTTTTTTGTTGTGTTTAAATAATGTTTTGAATATGCATTGGTCAGTGTGGTCAATTTGATGTTAGATATTTTTTCCGTCTCAATTTCAATGAAAAACAAAATGCCGTTAACAACCATTAATTTGTGTTGGGCGGTTGTTTAAGAGACACCTTTTTGTTTTCGATTACGTTCTCCTCAATTTGGCTAAACGAAACGATCGCGTTAGTGGATACTTTCGTTTCAGCTGCTCTTATTTGGTATGAGTGGAAAAATCGAACGGCGTTGAAGCGCTAATATGGCCAGTAACACTGCGATGGAAATGCACATTTTGCCATTTCGAATCGCGTTTATGCCAAACTCGTGTCTCTTCCGATTGATGTGTATGCGCATGGCTATCACGATCAATGTACTGTGTCAATCGAACATATGCGATACAGGCAGCTTCATCACCCAACAAATGAACGTGCGGATTCAATATGGTCGTATTGATTGCTGGAAATATGCAAAAAAAAAATTTCATTAAAAAACGATTTGTAATGGCACACAATCGATAACAGATTTCAAAACAAATAGAAAATTCAATTAAAATGAGTGTGTGTGTTTGTGTTGAATAACGTATTATAATTCAATTACCTTTACAATTTTTGCCGAGTACATTCTCGAAATAAAATTTGTGAAAGTCCATTCCTTCGACGAGATTGCCCAGGGCTTCCGTTTCAAAGGCCGTCATATGTGGATCGCATATTTTAGCATATGTATCAAAATCACCATTGTTTATCGCTTCAATTAGTTGTTCAGTCATTTTAATGATTTCTTGACGACGAAGTTTAACATCATCGTTCTCCTCCACCGTTGTATTGCTCGAATCAGTCGACACTTTGATTTGTGAACCATCTTCCTTCTTTGAAATCATGTTACGACTTGAGAAATTCCGTGTGGCCAGCATTGTGGTGAGAATAGCTCCCTGAGTTGAGATGAACAAACAGAGAAACGAAAAATTGTTTTAAAAAATTGATTCAAGTTTGTCAAATTGTCGCGATAAAATTCAATTGCATCATGTTTTTTTACCTTAAGTTTTCGTCGTGCATTGAATTTCTTCAAGCAGTCTACGGTCTCCTGACGATGAACAGAGGATGCAACCCGTTCACGTTGATAAATCCATGGATGTTTCAATGCATCGGCAGCCGTGATTCGTTTATATGGATTGACAGTCAACATTTGATTGATCAAATTCTTTGCCTCGGGCGTAACTAGAAAATTAACACAACAAATACGAAGCGAAGTAAGTAACCAATACTTCACCAAATTGTCATCAAAACAATAAAACCATTCAAATCTATACCAGTATCCCATTCGGGTGATGGATAATCATAAGCACCAGCTTTGATTTGTGAATAAAGTCTATGCTGATCTTCATCCCAAAATGGTGGATAGCCAACGAGTAAAATGTAAAGTATAACACCACATGCCCATATGTCAACGGCACGGCCGTATGGTTCTTTCTTAAGAACTTCTGGTGATAGATACCCAGGTGTGCCAGCAAATCCAAACCATGCCTGTTGATCGCCCATCACTTCAATGGCCAAACCAAAATCGGCCAATTTCACGGCGGCACCCTTCAATTTGCTGGCCAACAGCAAATTTTCCGGCTTTAAATCACGATGAACCACCGCATTTGTGTGACAATGGTTAACTGATTCTAAAATTTGTTGAATACAATGCGATGCATCGGCTTCCGAATAAAATTCTCGTGCTACAATATCCTCAAATAATTCACCGCCAGTCACTAAATCGAATATCAAATAATGGAAATTCTCCTCTTGAATACTGTCATGCAATCGCACTATGTTAGGGTGCTGTAATTTTCTACATATCCGTGCTTCACGTTCCAACTTTTGAAAATCTCTTGTGGTCAACTTTTTCGTATTGATTATTTTTGCAGCGAATTCTAAACTGGTCGATTTTTGCACGCAACGTTTAACAATTGAGAATGCACCTTTGCCGAGCTCGTCTTTAATGTCATAATTGTCGGAGAAACGTGTACAAGCTCCCGGTGGCTGAGTGGCCATTATGTCAATTCGAATGACAGTTATGCTCTGTACTCAGTTAAATAATATACTTGTTTTTGTATTTGAGGACCGTGTCTGTGTGGTGGTGGTGGTGCTGAACACGGGGATAAAACGCGTGCACCAAACGGTACAAAGAGGTTTTTCACTGGTAGATTAAACGTGTAAATGGCCTTGTTTCGACGCGGTTTTTTTTACTTTCAGCTTGATTTGCGTACGCTTCTAGAAGTCGTCACTCTGTAATAATAACCGAGAAATATTGTATTACTGTAATGGTTCATTTTTTCCTCCTCTGGCGTATAAAAGAATTTCGATATTGCTTTCTTTACTACTAATTCATATTAAAACTTGATGTATTGAGCAAAAGGCAAATGTATTTTCCTTCGTTTCATCTATATTCATAACACACACAATATGTAATGAATCATCTCTTTTGCGCTCTTCAAAATAATATTTGAAAAAAAATTATAAGTAAAGTCTAATTTATTGGGTGTGTGCCAAAACCTTCGTGCACATATTATCAACGAAATAAATTCCGATACCAAATGTTCAATGCCATTTATTCACTTGTTCGACTTCATAAATGCGGACAATATGTTGAATCGAATCGTTATGGTTATACGTTGATTGAGATGGCAACAATGAATAATATTTGATGGCTCTATAAATAATGTCGTTGATAAATTGCTCATTCTATTATAACAGGTCAAATGTTTGAAATTCAAATTTAATTTATTTTTTTCGGCTGTGTCTGCATTTTAATTCACTTTGATTGAATGCGAGCTACAATGGCACGTCAGACGACGAGGAGAGAAAAATAATTACACATTACGTTTCAAGCTGGAAACAACCTTATGAATAAATTGAACAAAACACTTCTGTTTCCATATCGATAAGAGTTGGGCATGTTTCGTTTCGTTGTTTTTTTTTCTCCATATATTTTTTTTTTTTGAATTTTAGTCGATAGCAACACAATTTTTATCAACACATTTCCGAGAATAAGCAAAGTTGGGTCGTGCTCGCACAAAACACACATTCCTCACTTCACATGAGAACCCTCTCTCTTTCACACTCATACAGTGTGTGGACATTCCAATGAGACAGAAAAAGAAGAAGAAGTCGAAAAAAAACAGTATCAACAACTTGATTTATTCGAATCTAATTGGAATACTAACACTTTAAATAAGCACAAATCGAATTTTAAATGGTTTCTGCTCGATTTCGTTCCCTATCGTATGTGATTCTTTTTTATCAAATCAAGATTCTTATTGGTAATGCAAACAATTTATGGGGAGAGCATGTGTCAAAGTTTATAGAGGGCAATTATTAACTCTTTTAAGCACATACAGCATAGAGAAGAAAAAGAACACACACACAAATTCTCACTATCGGAATTCCAATCCAAATCTTTGTAAATCTAGACGCTTTGTTTTCACAATATTCACCTTTCACATACGTAATTTGTGCGTATATTTTATTTATATGACAAAACGAACTGAAAGTAAATAAAAATTAAAGATTTTTTTCTTTCTGTATATCTCTTGCTCTCTTCGGGTCTGCTTGAAGTAAAATCGCATTTCCAAATCGAAACACAAACACTGAGTTAGAGTTGCGCGTTGTCGTCTCCAAAAAAAAATGAATGTATAAAAAAACTCACACCACAGAAAGTAGAACAGCACACTCTGTACAGGCAAACAGAACACAACAACTGCACATACAATAGCACCCGTACGAGCGCTAAACTGAAAGAGAATAAGAACGTTTCGGTGCGTTTTTTTTATTCTCTCTCGCTTCTTGCTCTCTCTCTCTTCTTTTTCGTTTGTTGGATAGAATAAAATTCTCTCACGCGTATTGTCGCTCGAATATATTACTTTAACTGAGAGCGAAACACTGTCCAACTGTCCATCGCAACATTGAAAACAAAAATGATTTTTTTCTTTCGCTGTCGGGATGAATTTCTATGCGCATGCTTCGTAATTATTGGTTAGATGCGAGAACGAGAGTCAAGCGTATTCTATGAAGCGTCGGCGCCATGTGTATATGTATGGATACAATACCAGTGAAGCGATTGTATATATTCTTTGTTGTTGCTGTTACTGCTTTTACTGCTGCTGCTGCTGTGAGAGAGAACAAGGTAATAAAACGGCAACGCAAAGGCGAATTCGGAAATTAGATTCCGATGGGCTCGCGTGCAATCGACAATAAACATATGCGTTGACGCAGGCAATAAACGTATAGAGTGATTGTTTTTTTTTATTTAATTCCATTCAAACGTTGATAAACCGCTTGCCACATCGAACGAGATTGAGCGGCTTTGCTTGACTACACCGACTGTTCGTTGTGTGTACGTTATTCGAAAAGAACTTGAATGCTCGGTGAGCAAGCTTTTCATCGTATCAACCTCAATGCCACCATCATATTAACAATAATGTGTTTTGTATGGCATAACCACGTTATTGTCTAGGAATTAAAGAACACGCACCAAATGACGATGGCGCTTTTACTTCCCATAATGTTGATGACATTTTTCTGGCTTTTTTTTATTGCTACACTTCTAATTGATTTCACCAAATTACTGACACAATCTCAACGTCGATCGGTTTGAGTGAGGGAGCAAAAGCTATGGATATAAATCCATTTCAAATATTCATATATTCAAATATATTTTTGCAATTCAATCAATTTTAATGCAACATCCATATAACATTTACGGGGGGAGCCAATGTTCTTCCGTTTTTTTTCCATTTAAATTTTAATACAAATAAAATTGAGCTTAAAATATTCCGGTGAAAATATCATGAAATGTGATCCTATTACACGAAACGGAAATCTCTTCGTTAAGGCGTTTTGTCATAGGAAGAGGATTCAAGAATTCAAATATTATAACGCAACATCAGCTTTGTCTATTTTTCGCTGTAAATCCTTCCGATGCTGTCAATATCCAAAGGGGCGAAACACTTTTTCGAATCATCAAATTCCGTTGCATCGGGTAACATGGCAAATCGGGAGAATCCTGCTGCTGCTGCTGCTACGGCTGCCGAGATGCGATGGCATGTGTCAGTGCAAACAACATCTCAGCGGCAAAAATAGTATACATGCCATTTTCCATTCACACGAATACTCAGGTTCAGTTACAAGTGAAGCGTGCAAGTGAGTGGACCGATCCTGAAGCCATATGCTTTTTCTTCCGCGAAAAAATCACCCTCATTCGAACGATACATTGGAGAATACACACTAAGTGAAGTCGTAAGGCGAGAGAGAAGTTGTGCAAAGTACAGAGTTGGTAGGAAAAATTACCACACACATCTCTCGGTATATTTTTTTTGGTGTGTTTGCTGAAAGGAGCGAAATAAAAGAATTAAGTAAATAGAATTGTGCAAATACAAAAGAGAAAAAAAATAAGAAGAACTGTTCTAATTTCATTGGATTTATATGCAAACTAGCTAAATACGCGAATGAGAAATGCTGAAATGATTTTGTGTCATGGAAATAAATAATCATTATCATAACAAATAATCCGCTAGTCTTTTTTCGGATGTACAAATTCAATGATTAAACTTAAGAAGCGTCTCAGCTGAGAGCCTTGTGCATTGATAAATTATTCAAATGGACTGCAAAATTGTTTCTCTTTGCTTCGTTGTTTCTTTTTTTCCACTCACTGGATAAGTGAAAGTTCTATATTAGAACACAAAATAAATAAATAAGGTGTAGTGGCAACAACAAACTAACAGAAAGAATGAAACTCACAATAAAAAATGACCAAGTTGCCAAGTAACAAATATGGTTTATTATATTTGACAGCATCTCACTTAACTCTCAGAGCATTATTTGGAGCATTTAAAATAAGACAAGTAACATTGTTGTTTTTCTCTCTCTCTCTCGATTGTTTTGAACCACTTGTACCTATTTATATAACAACGAAATCATAGCATCAAATTTGTAAGTAGCGTGTATAAACACATAAGATTCATGTGAAAAAGAAACGACATGAGTGTGTTCCATGTGAAAATCAAAGGTGTATCACATAAATATTGGAGAAAAGCACACAATGGCATTCCGTGAGAGTTTGAGAACTGAATGTGTCAGTGTCCAAAGATTATCAAATCGAATTTGGGGCGAAATTAAGATTTTGTTCGTTTTCCGTTTCGACAAGATGTGACATTTACACCCCGAAAATTATGTCGCGTTCAAGGAATATACACAAGTCGGAGCATATTAAAAGCGACGAAGAGAAAACTTCCAAGAAAATCGGTTCAGACAGAATTTCTCAATGTTGAATAACATTAGACCTTGTCAAAAAAAAAGAAGCGAGAGGCACATAACTGTGTGCCAAAAGTGCCACACACCAGAAAAAAAACACCCATTCTACATATAGTACTCTGTGTCCACAGTATAATGATTTGGGAATCGACTTGCTCACTCTTTCTCCCGTTTACCTGCTTTTGATGTGCTTGTTTTTCTACCCCAAACACAGAAGAAAAAAACAAACACAACGACTGTTCTGTGCTCCATTTAATGTTGTATCGCTTCATTTGGTAAATTACGTGCAAAGAATCTGTAGAGACCAGAGAGTGTACATTTCGGTCGTTTTTCCCATTTATTTGCGGAGCAAAAAAAAACACACACAGAAAGCCAAATCATCATAATAATCATGTTTTTAAAAGGCGTTGCATTTGCTTTATAGTCTATTTGACTGGAATGAATGAGCGTGACCGTGTATATATATTTGGCTGTACATGGTTCGTTCTGCTTGTGAATGATGAGAATAATGGTTATATATATACAAACGTATCTAAAGTGCAGAACAAAAATAAGAGCAAGGCCATGAAAAGAGAAAGCAAAGTCCTTAGCTAAGACGCATAGATACCCTGCATTGATATTTCACTGAATTCTTCTCTCGCTCGTTTTTTTTGTCTACTGCTTTTAATTTGTTTCTTCTACTCCTTGACCCTTTGCTCATTTTGATTTCAATGTGTATCCCATCGTTTCGGGCATTATAGTTTCTGCATACATTATGATCCTTTAATAGGATAAATGGTGTATATAAACTAGTTCTTATCATTATCATTTAATGACTAAACGCATTTGTTCAGGCGATGTATGCATAAATAGGGAGATGGAGAGAGTTAAGATGCGAGATTGCAACCAAACGCATATGCGTTTCATGCATATTTTACGAAAATGCCGAATTAGATGGTAATCAATTCAATATGATATGGTCGGGGATTATTTATTCCACTTAGAAAAGATAGAGAAAGTATAAAAATTTCGAGCTTTAGTCGTAGCGTTCGGGAAAAGAGTGTATACAAATTCCGGATTCTCAACATTAATTTCACTTTCGTACAATGTTTGCATAAGAAAAAAAATGTACAATTTCATTGTCGTTAAAAAAAAAGAACAACCATCTTGAGTCTTTCTCATAAGTTTATAACTTTAATGGTATGTATGTGTGTGCTTTTTTTCTGCAGACTCATTCCCTGTTTTTCGCCATGGAAACTATGCGCGCGGGAAATAGTACATAAAGTATATATAGGCACCAAGAAGAGCAATGTGAAAATATAAATACACGTGAAATTGGAGACGTTCATCAGGAAAATACGCATTGATTATACTTTGAAATATCGTTGTTGTTTTTTCCTCCGTCATCTTTTTCATGAACAGTGTAAATATTTAAACAGTTTTCTATTTGTGTTTTCTTTTGTAAGTTAAAAAAATGGAATAAAAAACAAGTTTGTAAGTGGAAAAAGTGCTACCGATCAAATGAATACCTTTAAACCATACAATGTTATAATCATCAACTTTTCGTCTTAAGACTTTGCGTGATAATTTTTTTTGTTTAATTTTTCCTTACTGCTCTCAGAAGTGCTTGTTCAACATAAATAAATTTAAGAATTTATTACATGTGCGCGGTTAAGTTGTTTTATTTATTTTTCTTCGTTCAAACGAAAAACGTGTACGCTTCCGTGGAGTAATCAACTTTCGAGTGCGAAACATCAGTAGCAACGAAAACGAATTCCTTCAACCAAAATTGATTTTTTATTGATTTTATTCATGAAGAAGATTATGCAGCTGATAAGCGCCAACTGTTTTAGCGACATGGACTGAATCGAAGCTGATATATACGCTAGCAAAAGAAAGCGCGCTTGTATTTTTTCCAGCGATTTAATTTTTTGTGCGCTATTCGATTATTCAGGAAATGAGATGAAGTGGTTTTCGTGTATTTTGCTATTAGCATTTGCAATAACAGGTAAGGCACTTGCTGATGAAAATATCTCATTCCATTTCAAATTTCAAGTTTAAGTTTTCTTTTGGTTTGAAGTGAAAAATTTCCAATTTTAGACGAATTCCATTCCATTGTCTTATGTATAATGTCTTCTTCATAATGTCTTATTTTAAAATATGCATGTTTCAAAGCCGAATTTCCCGAAATGCGAATGTATATATCAAGTTAACATTCATTGACATTTCATTATGAGTTTCGACAGAAAACTTTCATATATGTTTCAAACAAAAATAATCTCAATCTACACGCCCGAATCTCATATGTTTACTTTGCGGAGTATTGACATAGATTCTTTGTTTTGTATGTCTTGTGGTGAATGACTTTGGAAATCTGTTCGCTTAAAATTGTATCAAGCTCATGTGGGGTCGGCATTACATGGCAAAGTGAATTCTACATGACAGCTTCGAGAATAATCAAATAATGTGAAATTGAATGACGCCATTAAAAAGAAAAACAAAAAAAATACACATTCCGGATAAGTTGAAATTGTTTTTCCAAAAAAAAAACAAATATTGAACTTTGCTTCCATTCAATTATGTGGCATTCAGTAGTCCAATCACTAGGAGTCCAATGTGTCAATATTTAAGTGATTGAAATGTTCACGCTTCATACAGCTCGAAAAAATGTAATGGACATTTTATTTGATAGCACTTAGATTTTCGATATATCCGAAACTGAACTTCATCTTGAGACTTTCAATTCACTATATATTTTATTGAATATCTGATTACTTTCGAAGGACGTCCTTTTGAAACATTTAACTAATGATACCGATGGGTATTCGAATATTTGAAGAGATTTGATACCAATAAGAATGGCCAAGAGTAATTAATGCCCGATTAAATGCTAATGAATATTCAGAAGTATCGTTTTAGCTCTCGGACCAAACAAAAACCACGCATTGGGAATATCATGTCTACATTTTGCATTGGCTTAAGTTGTACGTTTGCGGAAGAGCCATCTAATTGCAAGTGGTTTGCGGTGTATTCAATTTGAATATCTATGAGAGAAATAGATTCCGTAGGACAGGGTGTTTTAAGTTGTATATCGATTAGATTTTTTTGGCTTCAGCCAAATGTTTATGTCAAAAGGAATGTGATGTTCCTTAACTTTGTTTTACCACACTGAAAGAGTTGAATGAATTCATGTTGGAAATTCTCAAGTAGAAACAAATTGGAGTTATTAAAGTTGATACAGCTTTTGACTCAAAACTCAATCGCAAAGCCCTTCAAATGGCTATGTGGCCAAAATTAATATTCAAAAGGGCGTCTTATTCCAACTATTTTGCGTTTCTTTTTGACATAAAAAAAAAACGGAATAAGAACTTTCTCAAATTATTTCATCTTCCATTGGCATAGTAAGGGAGAGATTTGTAAGTTAAAAAAGTAACATCAAAAGTAAAGTTTATTTGCTTAATAACGACGACTGTTCGAATTTTGGTATATTTCCTTCTCAAAATATGAAATATCGTGGGTGGTTCAACTTACAAGCCAGCTCAACCTACAAACCTTCACCCTACTTTAATAAATTGAAATAGTTAAATGATGTTACCATATCCGCGCCGATTTTGAACATAATTTGAGTTGTCATGCGATCGAGTTGCAGCGATCGTTTAAAATAAACCGACATAATATGCGTTTTGTTATGGAAACGTCAAGTCGTAGCAATTATGTTCAAAGACAAGTTGCCGAACTGTCCAAAAGAAATCGATTCGGAACATCTTATTGCATCTACAAACTCGACATCGCTAATTTCAATTATTAAAGCTTTGCTTCGATGTTACTCTTCAAGATGAATTTCGAGAGTTTAAATTCCGGCGAGCACCGTTTGTGTTCACATCGCGTGACATTTCTAATTATTTCAATTTCTACCTTGTGAAATATTCAAAATATCTAAAACGTTTACGCGTCGGAGCATCATACGAATACAGGATTTAATGAGAGGAATGTAGTCATAGCATTTCCACACTCCACACAGGTGCTTTCACCTTTTCTTCGAAAGCATATTCCGCATAATCGTCCATGTGGGCAAAGGATTATTGATCGGTTTATTTCAAAGTACTTACAAGAGCCCATTGATAAAGTGGTTTCTTTTTCGGAAAGAGAGTAAAATATCTCATGCATAAATTATCAATACGGGAGAGTCCGTTCTCAATGCCGAAAACTCTGTGAATCGTGGTAGTCCCCCAACGGGTTCCTTAATGAATTTTTCAATTTCATTTTTTTTAATATAAATTTTCGTCCCACCGAAGCCTTCATCCCATCGAAGTCACGGCCAGTTCAAGAAAACCCTTTACCTTTCTTTTACATAAAAAAGTTCCCTTTTCACCAGCTGTCGCGTTGCGAACCGCAAAGGTTTTATTTATGATTTGTTTCAATACGAACTCCTTGAGTGAGTTGTTCAAAAGTTTTATTTTGAAATCTCATGTGAAATCGTTTTTCGTGTTTTCTTTTTCGCACCCTTACCGAAAATGTCTGCCTGTCATGAATTCAGTCGCTGCTGGTAATCCCGATGCAAAACGTCTATACGATGATTTACTTAGTAATTACAATAAATTGGTCCGCCCAGTTGTTAACGTATCAGATGCGCTTATGGTTAAAATCAAACTGAAACTAAGTCAACTAATCGACGTAAATTTAAAGAATCAAATAATGACCACCAATCTTTGGGTGGAACAGACATGGTATGACTACAAATTGAAGTGGGAGCCACGAGAATATGGTGGTGTTGAAATGTTACACGTTCCAAGCGATCATATTTGGCGTCCAGACATTGTGGTAAGACTATAAAACTTGATAATTTTCCCATTGATAATGGTTGCACTACACCTTTTTTTCTTTCAAATTTTTTCTTCTTCTTGCACACGCTGAACCAAAAGCTGTATAACAAGTAAGTGTGATGTTTTCTAAGAGATTTTTTTTTTTTTTTTTGAAATATTTGACTACGTTTGCAATTTCGCTATAACGTTAAACTAAAGTTCAACTATGTGCCTGTGGAACTTTAGTTATTACGTGTTAGCAATTGCAGTTTGATTATTCAAGTTGAAAGTTCGTTCGCTCTATATCTCACTATCTCTGGCCAGTTTTTTACACCACTATTTTGCCCATTCTCTTTTTCTCGCCAATCATTGCGTGCATTCAGTGCGGATGGTAATTTTGAAGTAACACTCTCCACAAAGGCCATTCTAAATTATACCGGTTATATCATATGGCGGCCACCAGCCATTTATAAAAGCTCGTGTGAAATTGACGTTGAGTATTTTCCATTTGATGAGCAAACGTGTGTAATGAAGTTTGGGAGCTGGACATACGGTAAGCGAGTATATATAGATACATATACCAAATGAACAAGTATAAACAAAAAAACATAAATTGGTTTTCTTTTTTTTTCTAGATGGATTCCAGGTATGTTGGTTTTTGGGTAGCATGTTTTTACCCATGTTTTCCGGTAGTTTTTAGCTGTAGTATAGCTACGGGCGGTACATAAAACATCCATTTTATAACACCTTTCAACAAGAAATGCGCTGTAGAGCAAACATACTTTTTTCTTGCTTTCCATCTATCTTTTTCGCTCATGCATATGAAATTAGGACGAACACAGATTTTGAATAGAAAACCGTCGGAAATAATTCAATTGATTTTTCGTTCTTTTTTTTCCTCATTTCACTCCAAAAGGTCGATCATTTGAACGGTTTGGAGCGAAAATGTAATACAAAAAAGATGAGCGGAAGAATGTCGATGATGAATGAGTGGAAAAGGGATAGCTATATAGTAAACTGTATAGTAAACTACCCAAGCGCGACTCCACACTTAGCTTCTAAATGTGACACCTTGGTAAGTGTGAGCATTCGTCGTGCGAACAAGCAATAAAGAGAGTGAAAACAAGTGCGCGTGTATTAGTCGCTACATCGAGAAGCATCGCATCAGGCTGCTCACTACCACACGCGCAATTTTTTCCATTCTCTTTGTCGCTTATTCGCAAAACGAATGCTCACACTTACCAAGGTGTCACATTTAGAAGCTAAGTGTGGAGTCGCGCTTGGGTATATAGCTATCTCTTTTCATTTGACATTTTTCCGCGCAACTTTTCTGTATTACATTTTCGCTCCAAACCATTCATTTATTGTTTTGGTTTGCCGTTCGATTGTTGATAAACTGTTTCATTCATTTTTCCCATTCGCATGAGTAAACATTTGTTTTTAGTCTCGATGCAATTCGTAATGCTCCGTCGTATTATTCGAAATTAAATTTTCAACAATTTTCTCTCTCTCTTTTTCCCCTCTTTTCAATCCAATAGGTGGATTTGAGGTATGATAAAATTTAATTAAATAGGTGGATTCGAGATATTTTAATTGATAAATACCAATTTAATGTATTTTCATATTTGACATAGACATGTTGATGAATTGAATGGCACGAATGTAGTCGAAGTGGGCGTAGATTTAACCGAATTTTATCAATCTGTTGAATGGGACGTTCTAGGTGTGCCTGCCGTTCGGTAAGTTTGAATATGATCTCGCTGAAAAATTGAATTAATTGATTTTTCACAAACAAAAGCGACGATTTTCATAAATTCATATTTCAATTAAATATATTATGATTAAATATCTGATTGTACAGTCACTTGACCGAATTCAACTGTTCTACTTCAAACTTATTTCAATCACTGTGTGACCTCAACTCAATCGCCGAGTTTCTTTCCCGTTCTTTCGTATCAAGCTGCTAGAACCCATTTGCCCAATGTACATAAATTGACGAATTTCTGCTTGGGATAAAAACAAAAACTTTGAAAAAGTTTGTACGAAATTAAGTTTTCTCCATGGAGCCGAATGCATTAGACTAAACAAGCTGTGTGTTGTAAAAGATTCAGTTTCGTTATGAATAATTCACATTCATTTAATGGATGCATTCGAATCGCCGGAACAATAAACCGGTTAATATAAACTTTGGCGCATACACAATCGCTTCATTTTGAAAGTTCACATTGTGTTCACGTGCAATACGACGTTAAAAGAAAAATTTGCTCAAGTTTGGATTGTGAAACGTGATTGTGGAAATGAAATGAATGGCTAAACTCTCGAATGTATCAAGTTGAAACTATGATTCTCATGCAATGACTTCCGCTCTATTCCATCTTACTAATGTGTGATGAGCCTGTTTGATGAGTCACTTAATGTGGCTCAATTTTACGAGCAAACATCTTACATTTTGATTTTACCCAGATTTACTATTCTCCACCGCGAACGCGTTCAATTGAATCTCACATATATATAAACAATTCATTTAAAACAAACTATGCCCGAAGTCCATATTGAAAAGCAAAAAATCTCAAGAACAGATTTGTACAGATTTTATTTGAAATATTTATTGATTTTTTACAATTCATTTGTTGAAAGCTTCAGAAAGAACAACATTGACCGCATTGAATCAAAATTAAAAATTGAGAGCTATATTTACTTAGTCGATAAATTGAAATTTATTGATATTGCCAATATCCAATTTCAATACAATTGATGAAAATCAATATGGCTCGGAATCGAAACACTTGTTGTGTTAAAACGAAGCGCTCTCCCGGAAGAGATGCTGAAAATATTTAATGAAAAATTCAAATTCTCCACCCAAATTTGCAATGTGAACGAATAGATTTCATCGAACTAACAATTATTCACGAAGTTATGACTGTCGAAACCGCTATCCACATTGAAATGAAGCCAATGTTATCACGTGATTTATATCTTTGAATGGGTAAATATTAAAGAATTTACTTACGTCCCATTCTACACGAGCAGTCTCCTCTATTTGCATACATTCGACATTTCCATATTCATAATTTCAAATTGGGCATGTAATATGCATGTACTTTCTTAACTAATACAAACCACACTATGCTGGTTACTATCTCTTCAATACACGGATGCATTTATTAGTCGTGATATTATACTTGTTAACGTATTTGGAGGAAACAGTTTTTAATAGGAAATGGATTTAAGCATATATACATATACACCGGATAACTATGATATCAACCATTCAAGTGAGATTGGAGAGTATTTATGTGCACATAGGGCTTCGCTTAAATCGACTTAGTTTGAACTTCTTCCGAATTTTGCCTCAAGTTCATATATTTAAAGTATAATTTGAACAATACAAGCTCTATCACACGAACGACGGTACATTTTTGCAATACAAGGATAAATTTCACTTGGTTGTTTTACAACCATAAATTTATGGATGGAAATTCAAAATACTAATTAAAGAATGTGGTTTAACAAGAGCAAACAAATTCTTCATTCACTTCGATGCTCGGTTCATACAATGCGAGAGAGAGAGAGTAATCCGCACACAATCGTGAAGATATTCGAAATATTTAATTACTTATACGTAAAATGTGGTGTACAGAATCGGCATCTCTCATTTTTTGTTGTAAATTCGTACCAAGTGACCCTGATCGTCGTAGCCGTAAATTGGATCACGAATCGGTTCGACGGGTGAATAACGCAAACGAGCTGTGAAACCACCATATTTGTTATCGTCGTCGGTGCGTACGGTTTCATAGGCGACACGTTGAAGGGTGTTATCCTTTCCAAGAATGTAGTATTGACCACTTGCATTAGCAACAGCAATGACGGTTGGATCAGTGGTGTCTTCATCATCATCATTATTTACGAATGGTGTCTCATTTACCACTTCATGGACTGGCGGAGGAGGTGGAGATGGTGGACTTGATGGAACAGCTGGTGGATAAGGATAGGAAGTTGTCGGAGGACCATATGAACTTGGAGGTGGACCATATGTTGACTGAGGACTTTTTGTTGGAGGGGGGCCATATGTTTGTGGTGGTGGACCATATTCACCGGGAGGCGATGATGAACTAGGTTGTTTGAAAGCTTGAGATTGCGATTGAGTTGGACGGAATGCCGTTTGTTGATTGACTATTCTGCTTGATTGCCTTGGACTCGGGAATACTTCACCAGTCAATAAAGGAGCGCGGAATGGTTGTGCCGGAGTTTCGTTTGGCAAAAATATCTTTGTTGGTGGGGAAAAGAGTGAAACATTTAATTATTGATTTGGAATCCGTTTTCACTCACTTGAAGAGCCACTTATGGCTTACTGTTTTCAATCAATACTGGATGAAGACGATTTAAAGGAAGAAAACGACAAATTACTGAAAGAATTACGATTTAAAATCACTCACAACAGAAGATAACTTTGGTCGTCTAAAATGATACGATGCATGTGATGGCGAATATCCATGGTGTTGTGCATTGGTAATTTCGACCAAGTGCCCAGCAAGTTCGATATTTTCACGTGAAATTTCGACCGATGATGTTGGCAACGGTGGTGCACCATATTCTCCCTTTGGTATCGAATTCGGGTAGAATGCTATGCGCCATGGATTGCCCGGCTCTTCGCACGTACACAAACCAGCACTCAAAACCAAAAGCACAATTTTTATCATCATTTCACAGTCTCACTATTAAACTTATCATTTATACTCAACACCGACTGGTTCAATGGGCTTTTTACAAGTGGCGTTCCAAAATTATATCATATCACTTATATATGAAAGTAATGGCCACAATTTAGTTTGTTAATTAGTATGCATTGAAATACTTTGCGGCTTTGCCGTGCACATGAAACGTGCACTGAAGGAAGAAGGGATTGTCGTAAAAAGCAAACATTGTGTGTGTATATATTTTGTCCGACCGAACTTCATGTAGACGTACATTTTGTGGATCAATGCATAATAAGTGGAAGTGACCAGACTGTGATGTTTCTGTTTTTAGAGAAAAAAAAATCGTTCAAATAGTCCTCTTCATTCACAGCACGCTCTTCTTCACAATATATGCATATTATTCGTAATTTCTATGAAAAAGTGAACGTTTTTTCACAAAATCTATTTAGAATTCTTACCTCACCGAAACGAGCGCACACTTTTAAGGAATAATATAAATGACAAAATGCCAAAATATGCAAATTCAGGCGAAAAACCATATTTGTATGCATTGACCCAGTTCTAATACATCACAAATGTGAATCGTTACAATAACTAACATTGAAATTCAATGCTTATGATGTAATCAAATGTAAACAACGATTATTATCAAATGATTGAGAATTTGATGTTGGTGTTGAGCATAAGTTTTTTTGTTTGTGTTTTGTTTTGTATCGCTTTGCTTTGCTTTGTTTTATTTGTTTCACATTGCTCCAATGAATGAATTAAAATTTATAGCAGCAAAACAAAAGATACGGTGAGACGTGATTTATTTGAGGGGAGTAATCCATGTAAAGTGTAACGTTGAAATCATCACAATTAATTATTCAGCACATAACGTCTTATGTGTGGCAAACAAACACTGATTTAATTATTACTATTAGTGTTGTTATTGGGCAATGCATATGCTTTATTACATTGAGGAGTATAGTGAACTCTTCTTTTGAATCATATGCTCGACTTTTTTTTATAGTGCATTATTCATTGGCTTTTTCGTCCGAAATCGAGCGGGACGTTTGAAATGGAAGATTTGCTTTAATATTAATCGAGTTTCACTCATGTTTCATTTTTGGACTGAATTGTTCGACCACATTCGGTTTGGATGAATCCGTATCCAACACTTAGTGGGAAATGCGTTAAAAGTAATAAAAAAAGGTGTTTTCCACAAAACTCAATAGTAAAACCATTGAAAGTTTTTTTTTCAATTGCATAAACTTTACGTTATGAGTCTATTGATTCCTCGACTATAATTACTTCCTTTTTTTGGTTTTCTCTCTCTCTCTTTCTCACTCTGTTTTCAGAAACGAAAAGTTTTACACATGTTGTGACGAACCATATCTGGATATAACATTCAATATAACGATGCGTCGCAAAACATTATTTTACACCGTCAACCTAATCATTCCATGCATGGGTATTAGTTTTTTAACGATACTAGTATTTTATCTGCCATCCGACTCTGGTGAGAAGGTGAGTGTTCGCAAATTTGTTTTCCTTCACATTCACAGTGTTGTTATGTGCTTTGCTTGCTTGTTATTTTTTTGTCTTCTCTCCTGCCGACAGATAAAAGTTTTTACATTTCAAAGTTTTGAAATTCAAACATGTAAATTATTAATATTAATACAATCATACGTACACCGTATAGAAAACGTATTTATTTTGGCACATTCTAACAATGAGTTTCCCAAGTTATAGTCAAATTGTGTGGGGATGCCAGCGAGACAGACAGCACCTCTCGCAATATGCAAGGAAAATAAAATGGCTTGGCCAATACATTATTAATGCTTTCCATTTCTTTCAAGTGTTTCATGCACATGTACACCTTTTTGTGCCATGGTGTGTATCATCTGTCACCCAACTTAAACATCAACGTCGGTTGTTGTTTTTGCTGCTGTTTGGTGTTTTCAGTGTTTTAAAACATGCAAGAATTTTTTCAATACCAAATTATTAATGAATATTGAATGTGAGAAACACGATTTGAATACATTAGACATCACAAAAATTGAACTGACCCACTAATCGCATACCGTTATTTTCTTTTCGTTATCTAAATTCCCTGCACTTGTTGTACTGTACAAAGTAAGGGATTGCATTTATAAAGCATGTTTGAGTGTTTTCCTTCCATTTCAATGATGATATTTCGTTACTAATTGGATAAGAAATATGTATTTGAATAACTTATATCAAGAAATGTAGACGCTTTTTTTTTTGTCGTGATAAGAAGATTCACAAATATTTTATCACATTTTACATTATGAATACTCCAAGCCGGAAGCATTCTTAAAATCAATAAAACATTGTGCGTTTTGCCATTGAAAATGTTCTTATGCTTGATAATTTCTTCGCTGAATTACGTATAAATGCTGTTACACCGACTAAGTAGACGAAAATCTCATCATGAGATCTAAAGCTCAGCAGAACGATGATAAATAAATAAATGTGATTGTGTTCCCGCAGCGAGAACATAATATTTTTTAGGACGAACCATCCATCGATGCTGATAAAATGACATGCTCTTTATTGCAAGCCAAATTTGTTTTTCATTACGTCGACGTACGGTGTATCAGTTTGAAATGTCTATGCTTCAGATTGAGATACGTAAAAATGAGCTCGTAATTTGCCACATGCTCATTGAATGTGGATAACAAATTGTGTATTATATCTGTATTTGTCGTTGCCGTCGCCGTCGCCGTCGCCGTCGCCGTCGCCGTTGTCGTTGTTGTCGTTGTCATTTCAGTTGATTAATACAAACCATTTCTTGATTGCAGGTGTCATTAAGTATCTCTATCTTGCTTTCACTTACTGTGTTCTTCTTGCTTTTGGCGGAAATTATTCCACCGACATCATTAGTCGTGCCACTACTAGGGAAATTCGTGTTATTTACAATGATTCTGGATACAGTGAGGTAAGTGAACGTTTTTCATACTCATCATCCATAACAGATTCACCACCACTTGAATGGGTGTGTGTGCAATGTGCATTTTTTTTCGATGATAAAATCGCATAGTGTTTGAGTTGTTGGTGATGAGTAATAAAAAAAAAATCAATTACCACTCCTCAGTTTAATAACATACAACATTTTAATCGGTTCAACTGATTAAATGCGAGATACTTAAAAACACACTCGAAAGCTTTAGGTGATAGTTTGCACACCAGATTTTATATAAATTTCAAGTGTTGGATTATTTTTCCTCTCTCTTTCTCTCGTTCATTTTCGTCCGTTTTTTTCATTTATCGACTGATTAGTATATGTGTCACGGTTGTTGTGCTCAACGTTCACTTCCGTTCTCCGCAAACACACACGATGGCCCGTGAGTAGAATTGGTTTCCTTGATCTCTTCATTGTACAATGTACATTGTGTTTAAAATATTCGTTTGTTCACTTTAGCTTGGGTACGGACTGTATTTATAAATCATTTGCCGAAATTATTGGTGATGCGTCGACCGATTTACCCGTATAATGGATTGGGGTGAGTTGAATTGTGTGCTCTGTGGTTTTTCATTCTCTCTCTCACTCTCACCGATGTGTTCCCATAAGTCTCATTCTATGCGTAAAGTTTTCCTGCCATTTTTGGAAGACCACTTTTTGGCATGGTCAACGAAGAAAATTGGCATAAGATGCATTAGTTTAATATTTTTTATTTATTTGTTTTCATTCAGTTCGTTCCAGTTTTATATTACTTTGAAGATATTTCTGTTCTGTGCAATCAGTTAAAGATTTTAATTTCTGCGAAAGCAATAGATAGATTATTGATTTTCATCTTTTTTATTGGCTTTAGATACAAAAACTATTTTTTTTCCGTCTTTTTTTTCGTATACGACAGCCGAAAAGAGGTGTTATATTTGACAACAAAAGACACAAGTCTCTCTCCGTGTATGCTTCATTCTCTTTCCCATTATTTTTCATGACAAATGAATAGGTTCGAATAAAATCAATACATTTTTTTAACGTTGCATTTTCTCCATCTCTTCCTCGTTAATCATCGTTGTCTGCATCCAAATGGACCTATTTCGAACGAAACTATGCTACTGATGTGCACAATAATCCCGAACCGAAATTGAAATCAACTTAAAACACCATTTCGAACATAATCACAATGTTAAAAACGTGAACGATTCGGATATTCACGTGCGGGCGCATTGTTATACAATTATGATATGGATAAAATGCGTACCATGAAAAAATTCCAATTTGATGGATATTAGCTTTAGCGAAGCATCTCGTCGTTTTATGATGCGTACATGCAATGGTTTGGAGTTAAGGGATCAAATTCCACCATTGCCACCAGAAATAGCACTATCAAACTTCGACTCCAGCTTACTACTGGATCATCACATTCTGAACGTATGCGAAAGGTAAATTGTTTGGTATTTTGTCTGTAGTCTTCGAAATAAATGTAAATTTGCGTAAAAATCAAGAAGAGAACGAAACAGCTTGAACGAAGAACAACACATAGCGTCACGAGTGGATCAAGCGCGCACGATATCAAATTCTCTCACACACTCCGGCGCTACGATACTGTGTGAAAGTAAGGACGGAAAAAAACGTGAAAAATAAAATCCTTCAAAAGGAGAGTACCTCATAAATTATCACCTTGTTACGTATGCATCATATGCGATGTGATTATTGTATAGTAAACATGAGACGAACTCTCACTGAAAAGTATTCCTCGGCGTGTAAAAAAAGCTAACACACACACACACACGACACGCGCATATGTGAGCAATGCCCATTTTGGCATGTGCATTAGAAAACCGTTCACATCGGATTTTCAGGCTGTTTTTTTCCTCTTCTTCGTTATTTTTTTTTTGTTCACTTTCCTGAAAAACGTATCGAAATTAATGCATGTTTTCAATTTCTCTTTTATTCACATCTATTTATCGCTGTTTACGCTGTCTGTGCGTGCCATCGGTTCTGCACACATATTTCGATATGCGGTTGGTATATTTAAATACAGGAATATGGAATCGTTCAATATGAACGTATCGTGTAAATTACATGGCAGCCCAAAGACCCAGGCAACCAACAGAATATCACCAGTCCATCGATTGCATTCACTCGATCTAATGGACGATATACCGTTAACATTTTGTAAAGAGACGAACACCAACTCACCCATACTAACAACACCAATAATCGAACACAACAAAGTAATGACACCAAGACGTCAGGTCAATCATCAATTACATGCACTAAATGACGATTTATCATCAAACACGACGAATCATAAGAATAAATCATATGGTGGTGGTGGTGGCATTGGGGTTGGAAGTGGGAGTGGGTGTGGTGTTGGTAATAGTAGTGTTTGCGGGAGTGTTAATGGTATTAACGTACTCGGTAACACAGCATACAATCCAATGGATGGTGGTATGCTTGGTACGAGTAGCAACAGTCATCATCAGAAACAATCAACATCAGCATCCCATTCGCATTATAAATCTTTACATCGCTCGTTTAGTCAACAAGAGCCAACGAAAGATGATCGATGCGCTGGCCTACGTCATCGATGGCAGGACTGTCCCGAACTACACAAAGCCATGGATGGTGTCAACTATATTGCGGATCATACGAGAAAGGAAGAGGAAAGCACCAAGGTAAACAACCATACATATATGTATATTGAGCCATTTATAAAGCTTTCCATATTTACTATACATACAGCTTTTGTGTTTAAACAGTTGAACCGCTTTCTATATTTGCCTATTCTTCTGAAGCGCTTCTACTATTTGCATTTCTAAAATCACTTGCTATTGCTCGTTTCTGTTGGTAAACATCCAACAAGTCTCATGTCCACCCTATTATTTTGATTTATTTCATACATGCTAGTAAATAAGTGATTTAAATACACGCCGTTCGATTTTTTCTACTCACTTCTGCTCTTCTGAAATAGTGAAGACATAAAAATATGCAATATTTCAACCGTACCAAAACAAAACACAAAAACAACTCTGCTCTTTTTTTTTACGATTTTAGGTTAAGGAGGATTGGAAGTACGTCGCAATGGTATTGGATCGTTTATTTTTGTGGTTATTTACAATAGCTGTCATCGTTGGAACGGCTGGCATCATACTGCAGGCCCCAACTTTATACGACACACGTGTTCCGATTGACATAAAACTGTCTGAAATCGCATCAGCCACACTCAAGCCACATGTCACCCAGCCAATCTTATAATTTATTTCATTCTTAGAACACCATATCTCAAACCAGAAGTTTTTTCAAACACTACGCAAACACACACACAAACACATTCGTTCTGAATACGTGAAATCATGACTATCATATGTACGTCAACCGCAAGTAGACGTGAAATGAACAAGTTTTCTTTTCTCTCTATCTCTCTCTTTGTAGATAAACAAAGATTAATTTTATATGAATATAAATACTTAGAAATTGTTTGGCGACAGAAAATTAACTTTACTTACTTGGGAAATTATTTAGCAATATGTTTCTATCGATGAAAATTCCAACGGAGCAAAGTCAATATTTTGTTTGCGAATTAGTTTTTTCTTTGTTGGCGGAAAATGGTGTGAATAGGGCAATATAGTATGGTTAAGACATGGTTTTTTTTCTTCGGTTTTCGGTGACTTTCACATTACGAAAATTGGTGTCGGCAAAGTTGAGGGCGGCTGGTAATATCAGCTTGATACATTACTATTATTACACCAATCACACGGTTTTTCTTTCACCCGAAAACCACAAAAATGTGTGTAAATTCTTCATCTCTAACCGAAACCTGTTCGTGCCTTCGGCAATGTTATAGGGCTAATGGGCTACAACCACTATCGTTAGCTACAACTTTGCCTAAAGGTTTTACTTTTTATCTCTATTTATATATAATTTCTTTTTTTCCATCATAATTTACCAATTTATTTCATTAATCCCCCAATTCATTTCTCTTTTAACGCATTTTTTCGGCCAGACATACCTTCGGACTCATCAACATACGTTCAAAAGTTTCAAATTGAAACAAGTTAACGCAAATAGACATAAAACTGTGCAATACGTAATCAACTCAAGTTTCAAATGATCGATGATATGAGTTTTCACCGGAAAACCGGATGTGTAAATCCCACGTTTTGGTGAAAAAAATTCGATTGTTCACAAATTGCAACCCGTTTTTATGCATAAAACCGTTTTAATTACTTCGAGTTTTTCCTTTATATGCGCAACGACTATAGTAGCAAATTTCGTTTACCACAATGCATCAACCGCATCAAAGCAACTGTATAAAATATGATTTATTCACCATGCCCACATCCACATGTTCAAGATGGTTCTACAGCCAATGGCCTAGAAAAATAATAATTAACTGTGACCATTGCGGTGATTGTGGTTGTCAGACCAAAAATCATTTGGTTTTACCTCGCCAAATTTATGCACATACGTGACGCACGTGATCAGTGCTCTCGATAAAGAGTATTCAATGCTCATAAATAATTCACTGTCGCAACTTGTGCTCTCTCCACTTGCATAATGATAAGTTTGTTATAAACGAATCAACATGAAATCATCTTTTGATTCACAGCCATTAGTGTACAGTGTACACTATCACTGATTGTGTTTCACCCAAACCTCCCTACTCACAAAAAAGGGTTTCGAAGCTAAGAGTTTAATACTGGTCATAATTGCTCACCCCCCCCCCCCCCCACACACACACATTTGCCGATCTATTATTTTGATTTCTTTCTCGCTCAGTTTTCTTTTATCGACGGAACGTTTTTCTCATTTTATTGGAACTAGCTAAGGAATTTTATGTTCGTAATGAAAAAAAAAAAACAAACTTAAGGACGAGAATGAACAAGAAATGGATAAAATATGAATAAAATCTAATAATAAGAATTAACGCATCAATTATTTAAACGTAGCAAATCATGTAGGCACAAATCCAATTTGTTCAACGGATGTTGATGAACAGAAGAAAGGAAAAACCATCGAATGAATAAATTCTAGTCTTCGTAGTTACTAAATATCAAAAATGAAAACCAAGATAGGAAGGCCATAGAAAACCGCGCTGCGAACCCGTTTTTACGTTAAAAAGGAATTAAATAGAACAACGAATACTGCCATTTTTACGTTTCTTGTTTACTACGGTTCTATTCAAAATAGAGATTAATTCCATGAAGATTAAAACATAAAAATAGCAATAGCCTACAGAGAAAAATCAACTAGTGAAGAGAGAACAGAAGCCAATGTAAACGATGTTTTTCTGTTCGTTTATTTTTTCAGTGTTCTTCGGAATATAAACAAAAAGAAAAGTATTTGTAATTTCTAAACAAACATACAAAAACGAACATTTTCTAACAAAACATTTATCCTTAAGATTACAAGTTTTTATCGTAATATACACAACAAACACAAATACATACACATACACACACAGCCAAAATGATGCTCAGATACGTGATTGATCCTAGGTGTGCCAGATCCTATCCGTTTATAAAACGGAATTCAACATTCGTTGCGATAGAATATTTGTAATCGAAATCATGGAGATTGCCTATTTTGAAAATGTTTTGTTGGAAGCAGGTGAATTTCTAGAGAAGAAAATCGTAGAAAAAAATAGAAATTGAATGAAATTCAAAAAAAGGAAAATTTGTAGATCATTTACTAAACATTGAAAAACGACATTTCATCATTGAATTTAAATTGTAGATTTTAATCTAAAGTGGTAAGCTTTGAATTGAACACACAACTATTTTGGCACTACATAAAACTTTAAGTTTTTAATTCTAACGATAGCTTGACCACAATGATTTTATATTAGTTTAAGTGAGAAACAAGCAAAAAAAAATCAACAAATATATTGAGTGGACACACTCTAGAAGGCAAAGAAAAAAACATCTTAGAAAAAACACTTTATTCCCATGTGATTACTTAGAGGTTCATGCAATAAAACAACATCAACAAAAAAATGAAAGAAAGTTCTATGTACTTAGGCACAACTATTTTCCTAACCATGATAAGAATATTCAAAGACACACACAACAAACCGTATTACCACAGTAAAGAATTTATATATATAACCCTATATATGATTGCGTTATGCGCACAAATTGCACTTGAAATGTTATACAAAACAAATGAGTACTCAAAAACAATTGTCGTGTGAATGGTACAGATTGATGCACAGCTCATGCTCTACTGTTGTAATTCGGCACATGGATATGAACCGAAATTCCTGTAAAATAAATACTATTTTAGATATAACCAAGATACATAATGATGGTCCTAGGATAGTTAAAATATAACAAACAAAAAAACACTGAAAAGAAATGGACAAATATATTGATACATTTTTTTGAATCCACCATACACCGTATTCCACACATCACATACACACGATGAACATGAAAACATTGTTATCTTTATTAAAAAAAACCTATCACTATTCAACAGATTTCCGAGAAAACAAAATCCTACCACATGTGGCAACTCATTTCCATGGTTTTTGAGGTCAAAGAATTTGAATATTGATTTAGTTTTGTCGCAGCAGTTCAAGTTTTTGGGGTACATCCCTTAAGGTTCTCAAGGTAATTCTATATCGTGATATCATGAAAAGTTTCGGAGAATAATTTTGGAAAAACTTAACGAGCTGAATAGAGATTTTTGGTGATGTTTTTATCAGATTTTTTTCTATTTTTACACATTTGTTTTGTTCAATTCCAAATTTACCCATTTCAAGTCTAAATTGTGGCGTTCATTCAGCCTGATATGAACGGAAAATATGTTTCTATTATCAACGTGTTTAACATTACTAACAATATGTTGAACTTATCTCACAGGCCGGATCTCTTCTCGGATTAAATTTATTGTGGGTGAAAATCAATGTTACTGTCAGTAACTTACTAAAACTCACACAACTTGTTGACAAAAGTGTCGAAAAAGCTTCAAAACTTTGTGTAAATGATGATGAGTTAAGGAAGAAGGAAATCTCCAGCTATGATGAAGCAGTCCATTGTAAAATCTTCTTGATTTCATCTTCGTTTACCGTCGCAATAATATTCACATTATGATTGTTGTTCCCACGATCGAACACCATTTGGCCCCGTGTACGTTGTCCTTGCAATTCAAGTGTAGCATTGTATGTGCGCTGATATTGAATACACGTATCAAGAAATATGAATGCCGCAGCTGAAAAAGCATCATACGGAGTATAGAACCTATTATTGCTGTATGCAATACGTTCAACTTCGTTCAACAATCGAACATTGACACAGTCAACATTTCCCATAACATTGAATCGCCATTCCTACAAGTGTCAACCAAATGTTTCTAACATGCCAAGCAAAAATATAGAAATGAAATAATTCCCATACCAATGGAATGTTGATGCTTTCTTCACGTCCACATTCTAAGGGCAAAATTGTGATTGGTCTATTGAGAGAATTCAGTACAATGTGAGCGGCTTCCGGATCCCGGAAGAAGTTATATTCAGAGCCCCTCAAAGCATTCCCTCTTCCTGAATAACGCGATTAAATCGATGAATAACGCAAGTCGATTTGGTTCGAAAAAAAGAGGAAATACCTTTGAAATTGCCGTCCATGATGAACACTTATTTGATGTTTCCCTTGATTTCGGGATATAAATTCAAAGCTAATGCAACATTTGTTAATGGACCCAGGCAAATAAATGATACCTCATTCGGATGCTAAAATTAAATGGAATTTAAAAAGAGACAGCTGATATAATGGAGTTGTCGAAACGTACAGCCATCACCATTTCACGTATAATTTCAACTACATTTTTCTGTTGAATCACTTCATTGGCATTGTTTGGATAGTGTAGCTGCCAAAAATGAATATCGCTGAAACCATTTCGTCCATAAAATTGGCCCATTTTCGGATCAACAGGAATGAAACCTTCAGTTGCTCCTTTGTAAATCCGGATCTATTAACATTGCAATTAGATTTATGAAAAGATATGAATCGAATTGATTTACATGGGTACGGTCAAGTCCATCCAAAATCCGGTAGGCATTTTTTATTGCGTTTACAGTGGATGTGGTTCCAAATACTGTTGTGATTGGAAGCACTTTCACACTTTTCAACAGTTTCTCCGCCTTCAGGATTATTTGTAATGCCCACGCATCATCAGCTCCCATATCTGTGTCGAAAATCACATATTTTTGCTTTGTTTCACCACTCATTTCAATATAACACAGTTGAAAGTCACTTGAATGCTGAACTGTTAACTTAGTTGACACTGAGAAAGGTTGAGTGAGAATATTCAGTATTGTGCTATCGGCTCAATACAATGTATATTTTCTATTATTGAAAGCAACGGTATAAATTCAGGTCAAGCTACACTTACTTTCACCACTTGATTGTGTACGTCTTGAGTGATGCAGTTCTCTAATAGCGGTTTTGCCTATTAAACACATATTCACCGCAAACTCATAAACCGAATGCTAATATTCAGATAACATTTCGAACTAATTCAAATCAGTTTTTTTACTGCTTCATCGTTTTTGCTGGGATAAAATGATTTTTGCGGGAAAAAAGTACAATGGTATCTGAAAAAAAACATGTGATTCACATTTAGCTGTTTTGTTGGTGTTGTTGTTTCGTACTGTATTCATTAGAGCGGAAACTATGGAGGTTTCTCAAGAATTTCGTTCTGAGTTGTAAAATCAATGCTAGGTATTTTTGTCGTAGAAGAAACAGGAATCGGTTTGAAGATGATGATATATGCGGATAAAATGTCCAAGACACTCTGTCGAAGAGAATGATACCTTAGTTGACAGGAGGTTCTTGAATACAAAAAAATCATGATAATATTGCGAATCACAATTTTTATTTTTAACGTAAAAGTTTGATGCTTTCATCTTACTCATAACTATATATGAACGCGTGAGAATAAAAGACTGACGCTAGCAGGTTATTCGCAAAAGCAGGATAACAATCAGTTGCACGCAAAAAAGACATTTCAAAAGGTTACACGCAAACGGAACATTTTATTTTGTCGCATTTTGAATTTTAAAGCCGTGATTACAACAACAATATACTTCTCTCTTGCGTGCAACCTTTTGAAATGTCTCTTTTGCGTGCAACTGATTTTTATCCCGCTTTTGCGAAAAACCTGATAGCGTCAGTCTTTTATTCTCACGCGTTCATATATATCTCAAAAACTAGAACTTCTTAGACAAAACTAGCGCCATATTTCAATTTCACAGGACCCAAAAACCACGGAAACGTTTTCCCACTTCTGAGAGGTTTTTCCAGCGTTGATTAGTGCTATAAATTAAGTTGTTGTGTAAAAAAAAATTTAATAAAACGGAAATCCATTCAAATTCAAACCAATTTTATTTATTTTCTATTAAAACACTTCACGTATAAATAGAAATAGTACCAACGAATCGATTTGTTTTGTATTTTCGGGCGAAACTTCATTTAAAGATTTGCTTTTTGTTTCATTTTGGGTGAACTTACCGAAAATTAGAAATAAAATAATAAATAAATTGATTTAAAAAAAATTGTGTGTGGTTGTCATTCATTTCTTTTCGATAAAATGTCGTTGGTGAGCTTGGAATGATGGGATTTGGAAAAGACACCAAATTCGGTGATTTAATGAGAATCCGTTGTAGGTTTATGTGACATCAAATGAACAAGTTACAAAAATACCAATATACCAGCACAAAATATAATGAAGCACAAAATAGGTAACATGACCACATTATTATCAACACATTTAGTGAACTTTTATACAATCATTTGTCCTATGTTCAGTCTTTTGTAACAACAACTCAAATAAATTCTGTTTTACTTCTAGCTTGATATAAATTGCTCCTTGTTTTCCCGGATCCGTTTCAATTTTCGTTTCAATGCGATCATACCTACGAATGAATGAATCAATTAGATTGGTTTTGGGCAAAGAAATAGATGAAATATTGTTTGAGTGTTTAGAATTTATCAAAACCATTCCATTCTTCAACACTCACACTTGATGGTTTGATAGGTTTTCATGGAGTGACTTGCATCGTCTTTCTGTTCCACGCTGTTCAACTGTATTTCAATCAGCGCGTTTCGAATGTTCTTCAGGTGACGTAGTTCTCTGGTCTCCTTGATCAAAATACATCTGCAAAGTGGAAGGATGAGAGTGAAATAAAAAATGGTTAGAAAAATGAATTGAAAACACATGGCAAAAAGTTCATACCTAGAAACCGATCTCTCGCCAAGGCAATCGTTCGAGTTACTGTTGGTATGGTAAATTTGATGGTAGAAGTACTGCAGAATGGGCTGAAATGTTCAAAATTATGCTTGTTATTCGCCCTATACACTAAATATTCCTTTTTTTTCTGTTCATTATTTCCTTCATATTTGGAATAATCGTCAAAACTCACCGAATTCCATATGCAAGATCCATACCTGAAACCATAATTATTTCTAAATTATTGTTCCGAGTTATTTACTTCACTAAATTACCTTACCAAAGTAAAAAGAACGAATTGAGCCAGATGAAGAACTTTCGTCCATACAGTGTTGGAATTAGAAACTTGAACGGCAATAAATTCAAAAATACAAACGACCATAGCAACAGCTTCAATGTAACGCAAACTCGAAAAGCGACATCGCGATTCTTCGGTATATGCCAGCCGACCAGTGATAATCCATCCGTAAATAAATAAATTAGCGCCAAGAGAATGTTGAACATCACGGAAAAGTATTCCAATCTACAATCAAACCGAACAGAAAAGTTTTCAGATGTTTACGATTAAAAGTTACTATCTATATTCCATTGAAAATTTTAAAAATCTCCTCAAAATCCTATATATCCATTTGCTTTCTCTTACCGATAAACATCAAAGCAGATAACAATACCGCAGGCCAAAAATTTGCTCACCGCTTCTGACACATAGCCCTCGTTCAAATCAAATATCACATCGATCAAATAAAATGATATCAGAATATAGTTGACCGAATTGAGTAAATTGCACCGATGGTTTGACGTAAAAAATATGAGATTTTCATAGCTTCGATAGTAGTTTTGTCCATTTTGCTTGAAATATAGACTGTCAGCCAAGAAATATTTCTGATACACGTATAAAAATGCAATAGCAACGATATAAAAACATATATTCCAAACATAGCGAACGGTTAAGTTCCATTTGTAGTAGGATAGTTTTGAGGCCCTTAAATGTGGCTAAAAATATAAACAGAGATTCGATTAGAATTAAAGTGCAAAAAGTTCGTGTGTGTGAGAGAGAAAAGATGGTGAGTGAAACATTAGAGCATTAGGATTGTATGGCATGTTTTTGGTTTTGTTTTTACCTGCAATATTTTCTTAAAATAATGAAAACAGACAATATAAAATAAACCAATCCAAAAAATTGAATTGATTCGATTGTGCGAAGTGGCATTACAAGCAGACCAAATCTCATACCAATTGAATTGTGGCAAGAAATTAAAAAGCATATTCAATTACAAGGAATTTAGGCGGTTTATTGCCTCTTGTCCAGTTCGAATTTCGTCTTTTTACTCTTTTTGTCGTTGTTGGTTCGGATTTTTATAAAGAATTTTATTAAAATAAAAAAAAAATGTTGCAGCGTTTATATATAAATATGTTTTGAAGGTTTTCAGTTTGACATTCTCGCGTGACAAACAGATTGTCGAAATGAATTTTTGAATATTAGCCCGGCGAGAAATACAGAGGGAGCCACAACATTCCGTTTTGGGTGATTTTTTTTTAAGGAAATATTCTTAATTCTGTTGCTTTGTCATAATTTATATCTGTTTTTAATCGATAGTTTTCCATTGCATTTATGAAGTGCTCATGCATATGACGAGAGTCGGTTATTTTCATATCATAACAGACACTGTTGACTATCAAAGACACTGATTCAATTCACACAATTACCAACTTCACGGCGAATCGACTATGAGAACAGCTGATATAAACCAATTTTCATTGGATACGTAGAATATGGAAATATTCAATCACACACACACACACACACACGCATATTGCAATCGTGCGCGTACACACAAAGAAAACGAACAAGAGGAGAGAAGAAAAAAAACAATAATATTTATGAACAAAGTAAAAGTGACAAAGGCAGAGAACACTTCGATCAAGTGAACATATTCAAAATAAACTCGGAAACTGTTTCGATTGTTGTTTGCTTTTTGTTGCGAAAATAATAGAAAAGTATTATACTCGTGAAAAGCCACTTCAATTCGCCAAAATTCACAAAAGAACGCACTGAATTTGAAGAACGCAGCCAGCAAAAAAAGGCAGATAAAGATGGGACGCGTATTTTTGGATCATATAAATGGCACAAAATTGTATTCGTGTGCTTCTTGCGATACAAATTTGACCAACAAGAGCGAGCTAATTAGCACTCGGTTCACGGGTGCCACGGGTAAGATACAAATATTTTCGAATTAATACTAAATATGCCTCACGAAAGTCAAACAAGATGCGAAAAAAGTTTCACGTATGATTTTTTTTCACGATTTCGAATTGAATAATTCCAATTTTCATTTGCTTTGAATCCGAAATGATTTCATTATCCCATATCAGTAGTTGCTTCGAATATAGTTGTTTCGTGCATTACACGCAAATGTAAACATTTATGCCGATGACGTCGCACAAAAATGAAGCAAAAGAATAAATTGAATCTAGAAAACCTTATAACGAAACTTGTATAATTTCATCTAAATGTTCAAAGTGTATTTTTGAAATCCATGCAAATTTTATTTGCATCCATTCAAAGGCATGCAAAATTTTCATGAATCTTTTTATCTTTTGCACTCAAATTTCAGGTCGTGCATTGCTTTTCAAGCGTGTTGTCAACTTGACATACACAACCATTCAAGATCGTGTCATGTTAACTGGTCGTCACATGGTCCGTGATGTCATGTGCAAGAATTGCAAAACAAAACTGGGTTGGATGTATGAATATGCGACAGAAGACAGCCAAAAGTGAGTCCATTGAAACCCTATTTCCAGAACAGGTTGTTTATTTACAATGTCATCACCATTTATCATCGTCATTCACAGGTACAAAGAAGGTCGCGTGATTTTGGAGCAAGCTCTAATCGCTGAATCAGAAGGTTTCCCCGATCCATATGCCTCACAGCAGCCGACGGTGAATCATCGGTACAATAATCAGAATCACTTTCAAGAATAAAATGCTTCTCTTTCATTACATATAAGGATTTTCTTGAATCGAAAAGTTTAAATATTTTAGACTTTTCGTTTTGCATTATTTTCACTAAAAATTATTAAAACCCAATAAATGCGTTAATCTCAAATCAAAGCCTGGTTTCATCCCTTCAATAACATCATTGCCATTTGTTTGTTTATGTTCAATTGTTTACCAGTTCGTTATTGGCAATAGAAATGTTATTGCTTGTTAGTGTTTATCTACTGGGTTAGTGTTTAGCGCCATCTCTCGGTCAACCATCCAAAATTTACGAAAACCCAAAATTATTACGAATCTGCGCTGCTATCAGTGCTCACAAATATATGGGAGAAAAGACGTCAAAACTTCTTCGTTCGTATTTTCAGTGAATTTTTTTAGTCATATGACACTTTGCTTTCCACTGTTCAATAAGGCGATTATACCGTCAGTGTTGGAAAAAAACTAATCATATCAATAGTGTTTCGGTTTTTGTGATTAAATTTGCTCCTTTTTTTCGCAAACAAAATGACGGGATCAGCGTTTAACATTGACGGTGGCTATTTAGAAGGATTGTGTCGTGGTTTTAAATGTGGAATTTTAAAACAATCGGATTACCTGAACTTGGTTCAGTGTGAAACTCTTGAAGGTCTGTATGAAAACATTTTTTTTTATCATCAATATGAATTCTTTATCTCTGTGTTTCCGCTTTATTATAAACATATTTAACATAAAAAGATATGCTTTATTCGGAGAAGCTTTATGAATTTCCCGTATTTAATCGCTTCCAAAGTGAATCACTGAAAAAACCATTTATCTGTATGTTTTATCATCGATTTTGCGTTAGCCTTAGTAATCACAGTATGAATAGACAAAGTGTCATGTCAGTCATATGATCAATTTACACTGAATCACAATTTGTTTTTCTAACTGTAAAAAATGAGTTGAAAATAGCATATTAAGTAAGAAAAATTGTTTTTTTTTCAAATTTCAGATTTAAAACTTCATTTGCAAGGAACTGATTATGGGCAATTTTTGGCCAATGAGCCATCACCATTGTCTGTATCGGTTATAGATGATAAGCTTCGTGAAAAATTGGTGATTGAATTCCAACATTTGAGAAACCATGCCGTCGAACCGTTGTCCACATTTTTGGATTTCATCACGTACAGTTACATGATCGATAACATCATTTTATTGATCACTGGTACGTTGCATCAACGTCCAATTTCTGAATTGATTCCAAAATGTCATCCGTTGGGCAGTTTCGAGCAGATGGAAGCCATTCATGTGGCTGCCAATCCAGCTGAGCTGTACAATGCCGTGTTGGTCGATACACCATTGGCCCCATTCTTTGTTGATTGCATTTCCGAACAGGATTTGGATGAAATGAACATCGAAATTATCCGGAACACATTGTACAAGGCTTATTTGGAAGCTTTCTACGACTTCTGTAAAGGCATTGGCGGCACCACGGCCGATGTGATGTGCGAAATTTTGGCTGTGAGTTTAATTTTATACCAATTTTCTGTTTCTTTGACAATGATTTTCCATTTTTTTTTTCGGAATATTTTCGATAATTTATACCAAAATTACGGTGATAAAGACGATTTTTGATAAACAACTAGCGATAAGACCATTTTAATTTCCTTCCAAGTAACGATGACCTTCTTAATTTCCGCATAGTTTGAAGCCGATCGTCGTGCCATCATCATTACCATCAATTCATTTGGAACGGAATTGTCAAAAGATGACCGTTCGAAATTGTATCCACGCTGTGGTAAAATGAATCCAGATGGTTTGGCCGCATTGGCTCGTGCCGATGATTACGAACAGGTGAAGGCCGTCGCTGAATACTATGCCGAATATGCTGCCCTATTCGATGGCTCGGGTAACAATCCGGGTGACAAAACTTTGGAAGACAAATTCTTCGAACATGAGGTACGTCTTTCGAATATTTGGCCTTACCAATTACTTGGTTAGAAAATTCGAAATTTTTGGCCTGTTGTCAAATATTTGGAATAAACTGACCTTCCTTTTCTCTCTTTCTCTATTCATAATTGATCGATATTTTTCTTCATTCATCAGGTCAAATTGAATGTGTATGCATTCATTCAACAATTCCACTTTGGAGTGTTCTATGCATACTTGAAGCTAAAGGAACAAGAATGCCGTAACATTGTTTGGATATCGGAATGTGTTGCACAGAAACATCGCGCCAAAATCGACAATTATATTCCAATTTTCTAATCAAAGTAAACGCTTGATGACGATATGCATGAGATAAACCATCATCAGTTCTACGGCAAAAATAACAACAACAACAACCACAACAGCAACAAAATATCTCACCGATAGAACAAAATGCATGTTCGATTCATCGAAATTGGAGTAAATTTTTATTTTTTAGCTTAAAATCTTTGTGAATTCGGCTTTAAACAACAAAAAAATGTGCGCAAACGACATTCCTCATTCATGAAGTTTTAAAAACCAAAACTTATCACCAGTTCTTGGCAAAAAGTATTATTTTAGTCGCAGCTCGCCAGAACTTATCTATATATATTGTATATTGGAATCACTGATCAACTTTTATTTGTTTTTCCTTCAGTGTAATTTTTATTCGCGCCCCCTTTCAAGTGTTAAACAGCACAAATAGCTCTGTATATTGTTTTTTTTCTCTTCTTCATGTAAATTAACCTGTTTCAAACATCAACAACAACAACAACAAAATACAAAATCTTAAAATTATTACTTCTACATTGAACTGCTCATCAGATTTGCATTTCGAGAATTAGAAAACGAATTGCATTGAAAATTGTAATACCCTCTCTGGTTCAGTTCTATATTCAAAGTGTAAAAACAAACAACCAATTGTAATTCATTGTAGATGTTAAACAAATAAAGTTTATTGTGGGAGTTTTAGTTGAATTTTTGTGAGCATTTTCATTCATTTCCAAATCGATCGAAGCGATAAAGCCTTGATTTCAGCCAAAAAATTAATAACCAATATTGACTCAATATCATTGAGTGTAAAATTCTCTTGTGTTCATTTCTATTTGATCAATGCACCACTCCCGAAGTTGCCATCCGTATGCTGTGTGCTATGCGTAAATGTCAAATCAGATTTTGCACACACAGAGACATGAGTCATATCACATGAAAGTCGATTGGGAGCCAACTTCACGTCAAACTTCGTTGCACAACGCATTAGCTAATACAAGTAATTTTCGCTAGTGATTCGCAGTGTGTTGGTGTCTATTGTATACGAAACGAACAGACTTTATCGAAAGGCCAGGCACAGAGAGAGAAAATAACTTGAAATTTTGCAAATTTTTCTAAATCATCACGAAGAAATCATTGAAAGAAATCTGTTGTGCATTCAATCATCGAACAGTGTTTGTTGAGCATTTTGACAAGAGCTCAAAACACGGACCAATATTCAGATTGTATCTGTCACAAATATTCCAGCGATACAATCATTTCATTTCGGTATTGCAATTTCTCAGTTCGTATGAAAAAAAAGTCGAGACGAGAAAAATTCATCGCACAACAAATCAGTTCAAAAGCAGCTATTCAATACGTTTTTCTTCGATTTTCGCCAGCAAATTTGTAGGGAGTTAAGATTTGAGACAGAAATTTGACCTGAATTTTGAGCGGAGAAAAAAAGCAAAAGCAGCACCAATTTACCTTTGAAGAAGATGGAAGTGCTATCATCATCATCACCAGGTGTCATACAAACGAATGGCACAACAACAGCATCCATTGGAACACAGAAAAAAGACTCAGGCAACGATCCAAAAGATAATTTATGGTAAACATTCCATTTAATAATCATTTCAGTTCATTGTTTCGATTTACTTATGATGCGACATGACTCACACAGAACGTCAATCAAAATTGAAATGCAAATGCTTCACCTTCAATCTTCCGTGTATTGTCACTAATACGCGTATCAAGTGACTAAAGCATAACGAAATTGTGTCAATTTCAAACGATTGTAATCAATGTTTCAACAGATGTGATTTCATTTTCTTGACATTCATTTTCTCATCTGGAAAATGTTACGAGTGATCAAATATTTTGTGAGCAAAAAGAAATGTAGTCAACGTTTGTGACCAACTGAATATAATATGCTACGCATCGGTTCGTGTATCATAATATTAGAATGAATTGTGTTGATTTTCGTGATTATCAGTGCTCTTCGCCGAGAAAATTATCATCTCTTCAGCATATGTGTCTATTCTTATTCTGATCACAAACACACATACACACGCACGTCGCCTATTGTTTCAACGAAAGACGTTTTCACACACTTTCGAATTGTTTGGAATGTTCTTCCTCTTCTTGTCTTTCACCTTTACCAACATGCGTGCAGTGTAGCGTCTATGACCTCATCATAATCAAATATTTGCTTTCTATTATAACGCTAAATATTCAAATCACTTTGTATGAATCACACATACTATCGCAAAAAAGTCTTCAAAACATGAAACGAAAATTTCCATAAAAAATATATTGAGTCAAAATTGACGGATTCAATACATTGTTAATTTTACACTATTTTACAATGACTTTTTCTTACAAATGGTCGGCATTTTTTTTAAATCATGTTTTTTTTTTGATTTGCTATTAGGTCGGCAATTTTGAGTGAGGTACAAAATCAGAGTAGCACAAAACTTCCATCGAATAAATCAGTGTTGGTGTTGGGCGATAATGCGACCGGTAAAACGACGTTGATTGCTAAACTGCAAGGGGTCGAAGATCCGAAGAAGGGCTCAGGTTTGGAATACGCTTATATCGATGTTCGCGATGAGTACAGAGATGGTAAAGTGCCAAATGCAAATTATTATAAATCATTTCCGTTGCAAAACATCTTCTAAATGCACCGTATCGCTTATTTCTGTTTTAAATAGATTTGACACGATTAGGTGTATGGGTATTAGATGGTGATCCTGGTCATGTAAACTTATTGAAATATGCGCTAAACGAAAATAATTTCCCGCACACATTGATCATATTGACGGTTTCGATGACAGCACCCTGGAGCTGGAACGAGCAATTGAATCATTGGATACAAATTCTCAGTGATCATGTGAAAAAGCTTAATATTCCGGCAGGTAAGTTGGAGACAAATCAATTGTTCAAGGGAGTTGAATTTAACAAAAATCCACGTTCTCTTGCAGATGTGCAGCAAGAAGCCGAAAATCGTTTGAAAAATGCCTGGCAAAATTATTGCGAAACGGGTGACGACCTAGATGCCAATTCTCCTATGAACAAACGTACGGCACGTTTGTCATCAGTCGAAGATGAAACTATGTTGCCTTTACCCGATGAAGTACTTACCAAGAATTTGGGACTTGACATCGTTGTTGTTGTCACGAAGGTAAAATTGGAAAACACTTTGTTCAGCATAAAAACGAATTTGAATGTTTTTTTTTTCTTGGAGAGTCGAGTAAAAATGCATGAAAAATTAGACAAATTCAATATAATTCATGATTATCATTTCACAGACCGACTATATGACAACATTAGAAAAGGAATACGATTATCGAGATGAATATTTTGATTTTATGCAACAATGGATTCGACACTTTTGTCTTCAACATGGAGCTTCATTGTTCTATACAAGTGTTAAAGAAGATAAAAACTGTGATTTACTCTATAAATATTTGACACATCGAATCTACGACTTACCATTCCGAACACCAGCATTAGTTGTGGAAAAGGATGCGGTGCTAATGTAAGTGATTCGTTGATTTGGTTTTATGTACACATTTATTACCGGCCGTAGTCGGGCTCCACTGTGGCAAATACCAAGCTTCAATTAATTTTATCATTTCAAATTTTTTTCATGCAACAGACCAGCTGGTTGGGACAATTTGAATAAAATCAGCATACTGTACGAGAATATGCATTCATGCAAAGCTGAGGATAACTATACAGATGTAATTGCTCCACCGCAACAACGAAAAGTAAATGGTTTTCTCTGAATTCCTCTTTTGGTTTACCTAGATAGAGCAATTTTTCATTTTCTTCCTATTACATTTACTCACAATGAACAGACTGTTTCAAATCGGGAATCTGAAGTGCAAACAGAAGATGAGCAACAGTTCTTAGCGCGACAACAGCAAGTGCTAATGCAAGGTCAAACCCAAACCAGAGGTGAATCACCGATGCGAACACCGCCATCCGCGAAATCGATGCCCAGAACATCGGTAAGCTATTACAACTTCACTTTCTCCCATTTAAAATGGCATTGCACACATGTGTTAATCTCAATTTTCCATTCGAGATTCAGATGGACTCGAAGCTGACGCCAGGCGGACCAGGTGGCGAAGGAGTGTTAGCCAACTTCTTCAATTCGCTGTTGAGTAAAAAGGCAAACGCGCCCGGATCACCAGGTGGCGTAGGGTCTCCACGCCCAGCGAACGGTGTAGGCGAAGCAACGCCCGACAGAAATACTATGCGAACAGACGCTGCAGCTGAGTTAGATCGATTGACACGAAGTGTGAAAAAAGAAGATGAGGAACTCTCGCAGTCGGAGTGCTAAAAAGAAATTGAACAACAAAACAACAAAAACAATAAATATTCGATATTTTCCAAATGTTTCCAATATTTCCAAATTCATGTGAAAATGAAACCTTTTTTTAAACATCTAATTGCGAAAATCTAAACAAAATGTGTAAAGAAATATAAGTGCAGTGCTTGAACACAGTTTGAAGAAAAAGAAAAAGAAAACAGAAAACTCCGATCGATTGATTATTTATTCGTTAACATTGCTGAGCATTTTTGCCTTATTTAAATTATACGACATTTTGTTTTAGTTAAACCAATTTAATCCATTTTGAAGAGAAAACAAAAGTAAAGTCGAAAATCAAACGCAAACCATTGTGCATCAATCAATTTAATCAAGCTTAATGAAATCCAAAAGTCAGCATGCACCAATCGTAATTGATATGTTGTTATAGACAACCTGTTAATTTTAAACGAAAATTTTGAAATTATTTTATAGTTATGATTCTTTTTTAGAAGTATTGGTGCACACACACAAACACTAGACCGTTGTTATAACACACGGTCATACTATTGAAATACATTGAAAATGAAAGAGAAATTGTAACTGAGGGTAAAATAACGTTCAAATAAATTAACGTATCAAAGATATTTGATAGTGTAAAAACAAGAGATTTTTTCATAATATTTATAGCCATTCGAAATGTTAGAAGAAAATGAAGATTGGAGAAAAATAGAAGAATTGGCGTCATCATTCCCGAATTATTTGAAGCCATTGAACTGCTTACTTTTTTACTTTACCTATGTGTTTTTTTTTGCTAAAGTGTACTAATTCATAACTGCATTCGACTTGTTATTATTCTAACTCACATAACATCCCAATGGAATAGTAAAAGTAAACGTAATTTTAGTTTTATTTTAAAAAAGTTGATCAAAATCTTTGGTTCGCTTCCGATGAACATTTGTTTATCTCGTGTATTAATTTGAGAATATCATTAAGTAATTTGCGACATTTACAAACAATTTGACATTGATTAAATCGGCAGTCAATAATTCGATATAAGAATTCGCTGAGAGATCGTAATTCATTTTTTACGACATTATAAATTAACGGTGTAAATACATTTATCAAAGCGAATTTTGTTT